TGAGGCAAGACTTCAACTATGGAAAAGAATGCATCGCTTGCCGAGCAAGCGAGACGATGAGGGACTACCAACTTTGGCCGCCAGAATACCAGAGGAAGACGATCGTGAAAACGGCGGCGCGGTCCCGTGCATTCTTCAACATCATGTTGGAATCAGGCAATCCAGTGACAGACTCTCAGAAGGACTTCGTGCAGTTCCTCAAGGACATCACCAAATCGATGGTGGGCAACAAAGGTTGCGAGCACGGTGAGATCCTCATGAAAGCGCTGTCGCACTTTGGTATGGTCAGAGTTCCCAGAGATCGAGTCAAGCAGATCTTCGTTGGGAAACGTGGAAGACAATACGGTGTCATCCGAGAAGAGTTCACTCTGGGTGATGGCAACGATGCCCATGATCGATTTGCATATCGTGTTACCAAGGACTATGGGAATGTCTTCTACAAGGACTACCTCAAGATGGTGCTCGGAGATGACTTCACGGATGTCATGGGATATGCTGATGCAACGGCCGAGAAATGTGGGGACGTGGTCGAAATGTGGCTTGGAATGTTAGATTTGGCTAACATGACGAAGTCCCAGATCACATTCATGGAGACAAAGGCCGATCCAGGTGAGCTTCTTGCAGGCCTGGAAGCATCTATCAACATCTTCCATGGGACGACAAGATCTACCACAACTCCAAATACGAAGAGAGGTGGATCGAGGATCACCGAACCTACCAATTATGAGGAGACATTGGTGAACCAAATCCTACGTGACATCCCGATGTACCATGGATTGCAGTATGCGTGCCTGATTGAGGACAAGGAGATCAGCGTCATCAACGAAAACTACATGAGGTCCAAGGCTGATGACACCAATGATGATAACATGGAGTCCGAAGGTCCAAGGACCGGGGATGGTACGTCGACCACCCCAGAACCGACGACCGGAGGAGCTGGTGCTAGTGCGGAAGGGGCAGGTTCGTCGACCACCCCGGATATGCACGGAGCGCCTAAATCTCCATCGAATCCTGAAGAGGAGTTCCAGATCTCTCAGGACAAGGGTGCCATCGTCGAGGCCATCAACGCGCTCTTTGCCCTCGCGGACGACAACAACGTCTGCCTAAAATGTGGTGAAAGTGGCCATCCCAACTATGAATGTCCCAAGCAAGGCAATGATCCAGTGAAGTCAGCATTGATCAACTTGAGGAAGAAACTTCAGGGTGACGATGTGGAGAAGGATGATGCTCCCAAAAGAGATGATGACGAGGAGCAACGTTTCCGCCAGGAGAACTACAAAGCAACCAGGGCTGGAGAGTACATGTACCTTCAAGCAATCCCACTTTCAGTCATTGGAGACCGTGCCCATGGAGAAAAGAGCATTAATGGAGTGAGAGCCGAAGAGAAGGGCCCCAGATCAAAAGGCGAGCTGAACGACATTGTCGACACAGCAAGTCAAAGGGGCATCACTATAACTTGTAAGGAGATGAAGTCGGCAGTTCCTTACTCCGATCACAGAATGTACAAGAAGCTCAACATCGGCACGGATATCGGGAAGCTCAAGATTCTTCCGGTCAACGGTGGCAAGTTTTACTCCGAACGCTTCGTCGGACCAGGAGTAGAGTATCCTCTACCGACCGAATCCAGAGCCAACCGTGTCTTCATGGAGGATTGGGAGAAGACGTACAGCTACTACTTCAACAAGGCCCTGAGACACCACATCGGACGAAGAGAGGTGTGGGAAAGAGCTTCTGGCAGAAGGGTAACAACGTTTTCCGGGCTCAGATGTGATGAAGCTGGATGGGTGGACATTATGGAATTTCTACATCACCCATGGATCTTTGATCACGAGCAGGTCAAGACGGAGGATGACGGACTGATTGGTGTCGACTTCCGTGCGGAGCGCATCAAGACCATGATCAAGACTGTTTGGTCAGAGTTTCAAGAGAAGAACAAGATCCGCATCCAATTCCTATGCATCGTTCTCGACTCTACCTTCGACAAGCCCGATGATTACCTCAAGAATGTCATGGGAGTCGGTGATGACATCCATGATCTCATTGCACAACGCGGTGAAGTCTTCCTAGCACCCATTGCTGTGCGTTCACCTGGAGGATTCTCTGCCCGTGGATCAGATTTTCGCCTTGACTATTGCAAGATTTGTCACCCGATCACAACGAAGATCGCAGACGACATTTGGTTCTGCTATCATGTTACCGAGTTCAAGAACGTGGTCGGCATCATCAAGGAAGGTTTACGACCTGGAGGACACCGAGGAGGACGAACACAAGTTTTCCTCAACCCATTTGTGCCATGGGACAAGTGATACAGGGAGATCCTGGGAGGACAATTGACACACCTAGGACAACCTCGCACGGTCCTTGCATTCAGCGTCCATCGACTCATGAGTCTCGGAGTCATGATCAACGCGTCTGGCCAAATGGTGGTGAATGGAAACATTCCATTTTCTGAGGTGACCGCAGCGTGGTATCAGAACAACAACTATGATTGGGAACGATTAGTGGTTGATTCTGGAAAGTTTCAGTTGGTAAGATCATGTCAAGAGCCGAAGGAAATTGCAACGGCAAACACGGTGCTTCGTGTCTCCAAAACCTTGCTGGACGACATTGACAGCGGGGACAACATCCCGTTCTACGACAAGTTCGTCGAGGATGTTGAAAAACTTGAATCACTCAATGGAGCCCTCGACCCCAACAGCGAGTTGAGGAACGACATCGTGACGTTCATTTCCGAGAACTACACTCCGGGAGAAGCTGGACACTTGATTTGCCCAGCATGCCTCACTGAGACTCCAAACATTCTATCCATCTGCATCAGATGCCATGGAACGCTTGTCAGCTGGGGGGAGAAAGAAGCAGAGAAAGATGAAAGCACTGCCCCTGGAATGCCTGAAAGAGAAAGGCATGAAAGCGGAGATGGCCAAGATGCCAATGACGATGACGTCGAGATGGAGAACGAGGACCAGGAGGAGATCGACAGACTGGTCAGGGAGTCAAAGAAGAACACCGAAGAGGCTCCGGATGATGACATTGACATGACCGACGCCAAGTCAAGCCACGAGAACGTCAAACCTGAAGAAGAACGTCGACGCAATGTACCTGATCAGAAAGTTGTATTCGGTGACAACACCAAAGAGCAACAAGAAGAAGATGAAAAGGTTGCCAAAGAACAAGACCAAGATGAAGAGCGTCGAGAAGCAAGGATGCGGTTGCCTATGTGGACAACGAGGATCATCCAAGCTTCCCTTATTCAATGTATCGACATCGCCCAGAATGAGGACGCCATCGACAGCACAGCTCGCGCGATGGACTGCATGATTCTGAGCTATCTTAAAGATCGATATCGACTATTTCATCTATGGACTTCAGTGGCACCAGCCCAGCAGTATCATGACCACGTGATGAGACTCAAGCTCATTCCTGAATTTGACGGATACATTCCATACGTGGGCGAAACTGCAGATGGTGAATTGAAAGAACCAACAGAAGCGCAGCTGATCGCTTCATTCCATGCGAATGCCAAGAATGGGAAGATCGGCGGGCGTGATTTGGAAACCTATGTGAAGGGAGTGAATGGTATTCGAGTGCTTTGCAAGATTATGAAGTACTTGATCCAGATTGGCATCACCCCTCAGCTCATCTTCTCCAAGGTTGCCGATAACACGGACGAGGACGACGAGCGGCAAGCAGAAGCACGACGGGAATCATCTGACTTCGTCAGGAAGATTATCTCCGGTGCCTTTGCCGTGCGTTCCTACGACTATTTTCGTGTTACACCACCTCGACGGGACGATCATGTTCATATTGATCCTGTAGAACTAGCATGTGCAGTGACGGAAAGATGCAGAACATTTACCATCCTCGTGACGCTCAACAAGATCGGCCTGGAGCTACCTCAGCAACTACGCAAAGTATGGCAAGGAAAGCTCAAAGCCGTACAACAGAGCGAAGCACAGATGGCTACATGTCTCAGATCTCTTGATCCTGCAGAACGTGAAATTGCCAGGCAATATGTTCGAGCACTTGGTGATGAACAACCCGCAGAAGAACAGGCTTCGGCGAGCACCAAGGAGACCGACACTGGCAAGAAGCGGCGCAAGAGGTGAACTTCTCTAGATCTACATCAATGAGGAGATCTTATGAGAGGACTCTGAGTGCCGGGCTAATTCATATGAATCCTACGCATTTAGGATACGAAGACTTCCTAATGCAACAGGATAATTTTCAAGGGCCTAAGTACTGCGAATTAATTCAAAAGGGGGCAAGCGGAACGCCGAGGGTAGATCTACCACGGCTAGTACGCGAACCCTAAACAGAATAATTGCATGTAAATGCAAAGAGGCGAATAATTGGCGGGAGAGCGACCTTAGATTCCAATTTTTGACTCTGACACGCGCGATCCTGTGCTCGGCGCCCCGGTCGTAGGTCAGGCTACCGCGACCAGGGGACGCCGGGCATGGGGGGTGTGATTGCAGTGCAGATCAGAATGAACAGTCTGTAAGATCCTTTTGTCCAGCATCGCTCACCCCGCCGGCTGGCTCAAGACGCCGCTCGCCGCAGAGAAAAGGAACATGTGCGCTGCCGCATTTCAACGTTGAGGACTTCAGCTAATCCAATAAGGGCTACACGTACATCGACCAGGTCGAGGTGATTCACATATATATATATTACTCTATATATATATATATATTACTCTATATATATATATATATTACTCTATATATATATATTACTCTATATATATATATATATATTACTATATATATATATATATATTACCATATATATATATATATGTACACGAATATATTATACATCTCAAAGTGTGGGTTAGATATGCTATGCTTGGATATATTCTATGGGATATGATATAAAATATGGGGGAAAAAAGGATATAGCAAACAAAGTGGAATTGTCTCAGCCAAAAGTGGTGTTTTTCGTAGAAAAACAATATGTGACATCCCAAAATCCCTCGCGAGCAGTGAAGCTCCTGCTGTGAGGATGGGATTACCATATGTCGTGAAGGGCTTCAAGAAGGTTCAGGCAGGACCAGCATCGCTGTAGCTGGTGTACTTTGAGATTCGAACATAAAGATGTAGGTTTGTCGGAAAATTTAGGGGCAGCCCCGGCATGCAATGGTTTATCATCTTTTCCCAATTAAAATTGCCATAAGTTGATGATATATCCAGCATTTTTATCCAGAAAGCTGTGATCCAACATGCTCCAAGCAGTTTCCTAGGAAGGCATTAGCCTGATTCCAGAGAAGATCTTTTGGGCCATTCTTAGTTTTGACCTCAGCAAGAGCCAGCATCCAGCTCAGTGCTGGTGCCCTGCGCGAAACCGCTAGAAAGTTTTAAGAACAAATATCACCGGAAGATATTGGAGAATATGAGAATATATATATATATATAAGATTATAATACGTATGTATATATATATATATTATATATATATATATATCTTCAGATACTTCTTGGCAGGTTGGTCATGTTATCGAACCAGTCAGGTCAAAAAAAAACACCGAGGTTTCCTGGTCTGTTTCTTCGGCGGCATTTTCCCGGCCACCATCGCCGCTGCCGAGGTGCCACGCGTTTCCATGCCGCTGAAGAAATGAACGGCCTGTCGTTAACGAAGATTCATATTATGAACATATAGTTCACATTATATGTTAGAACATATATGTTCATATAACAGTCATTATATGTTCATATTAATGGATTTTCCTGTTCATTATATCAATGGATTGGTTTAAGGGAAACCCATGGTTTTTACCATCAAATATATGAATTATGCCACAGATGAACATATGTTCATTATATCAATGGATTGGTTTTGTTGGGAAAATCTACACCGGAAACCCATGGGTTTTTACCATCAAATTGATCGGGTTTTCCGGTTAAAATTTTCCCATCATCCAGTTCTATGATTATACGAACATAATGAAACAATATATTTATTAACATTGTGTAATAAAACATATTAATTAACATGTTATGAAGATTCATGTTATTTTCACATTATGAAAACAGTTATATGTTATAACTCATGTTATAACATTTATTAACAACCAGTCATAATTTTTTATAACTTATATTAACAGATCTACCAGTCATGATTCATATACTGATATGTTTAAGAGATGTGATTCATGATTACGGTAAACCATAGCTATCATGTTTTTTTTTGTGTCAGGCCTGGAATCTCTGCGGTGGTCCTGAGGCTCCCCCGGTCTGATGTGGCTGAAAAATCCATGGGGGTTGACCGAAAATTGGGTATACATACATACATACATACATATATATATATATATATGTATATATATATATAATATGTATATATAATATGTATATATATAATATGTATATATATAATATGTATATATAATATGTGTATATATATATAATATACATATAAATCTATACTCGAAATTGTGATGGTAAATCATACTGTAACCTTTACAATGAAACTTGCCATTTGGGGGACTGAAAAAAGCTGAACTTCATTAAGTTGAATCATGTCCGCTACGGAACCAGGTGTGGGATCAGACCAAGATTCTCATGCACGAATTCGCGAAGGTCGTGGTGCGGATTCTCAGGGGATACCTCGGTGGAAACCCCCACAGGAAATCCGCCCCAATGGAAAAGTAGGCTGGAAAATGTCAAATGTAGACAATACAGATCCAACAATTCTCAAGAATCCATGTCTGTCCATCACGCCATTGGGCTCTCAGGTTGTTTTTGGCAAGTTGGATGTTGGCTCCGAAGCAACTGAGGAAGCCACCAAAGAGGATGGCAAGGAGGATAAAGACCAACAGGAAGCCTTGACGCCTGGGGTCCCATACGGCTGTGGTTTGTACATTTTTGTACGGGGGATTGGGGGGTATACCCCCAATTTATTGCAGTTTGAATGCGGATTGGCTGATGATCTTAGGTACCAAACTGGCTGCAGGGAGGAAAATGAAACCATTGGGGCTGGCCAGCATCTATTGGCATCACTTGGTGTTTGGACTCGAAAAGAAGTTGGGAGAAGAAGGTCTGGGTCCGTTGGGATTACCGGTCGTTGAGTCATGGCCGGATCTACTTGCACGATCCTCAACGGAAAAGTCACACCCAGAAAATTGCTTGTTTGAACTGAATTATTCGAAATCAGTCCATCCCGATTCCATCATATTCCATTTCAACAAAAACCTGTTTGGACAATTTTGATCATCCATCATAAAATCAGTGGAGTTTAATCAGAATCATCCGTTAAACCAATGCTTTTTCATAGGGTTTTTCAATGTTTTCCATGGAAAATTCGATCTGAGGCCCCAGCAGGTCATCCAGAAGAAGATGATCATCGCCCTTCAGGTCATGGAACCTGAGAAGGCCGGGATTTTTTTCTGCCTGGGGAAAAACTGGGGGAAACACTTATCAATATGGTAGTGCGTCAAAACCTTGTACCCCTGGTGAACATCAAAATTAGCTGGTAAATGGATGTTCATCCCCCTAAAAATGGTATGTATAGGTATTGATCCATAGCTATATGATGATGATTGGATGATGATTGTTATTACGTATTGTTGTTATTGCATGTTATTACTACTATCATTATTATTACTATTAGTAGTATTGTTGTTGTTATTGTTAATATTATGTTCTTATGGTGGTGGTGGTGGTGATGATGATGATGATGATGATGACGACGACGATGACGGTGACGGTGAAGGTAAAGGTGACGGTGACCGTGATGGTGACCGTGATGCTGATGCTCATGCCAATGCTGATGATGATGGTGGTGGTGGTGGTGGTGGTGGTGGTGGTGATGATGATGAATTGAATCTGAATCTGAAGTGTCTTGAAGATGCATCGTTTGGTAACTGGCTTTCCCTGTAGGTGAGCAATTCCTTGGTTCTGTGCCCAGTGCTGGCGGGGGCAAAGTTCCAGTCATCGAGGTATGGCCGGAAGACTCCAACGGGAGTTCCAGCTGAGGGTTTTATAAGACAGTGTAGCATGGGAAATTGGAAAAAAAAAAACAGGTTCCGAATGGTTGATATGTTACAGCTGTGGGTCTAGCATGCTGTTATTGCTGTCACTGTCACAGAGGCCCCAACCAAGATGAAGCATGTATAATGTGAGAAATGGGAGATAGGCCCTGGATGATGTCCAAAGCATTCGCTCGGCATGATCATGTAATTCGTTTCAACATGTCTCAAGAATGCACTGGATTGTGGACGTGACCCCATCCCTTGCCCCGTACCAAGTCATGCATCTACATTTGCTGGATCGGTGTGGTGGGTGTGCTCCGCTTGCAGTTTGTTCGGAGCTGAGATGGCATCTTGCAGGCTGAGCTGATGGATGCAACGAAGGGGATCCCAGCATTGATTCTGTACAGGGGATGATAGAACCCCAAACAGGAGACATGGACCACCGTCTCAGTGGGACGGCATCGCCAAAAACGCAGCTGTGTCATTGCCAGTTGTCCAATGTCAGCCGGTGTCATCCCAGAAATGTTTTGTAAGAGGTTCATCTATGGGATATCATGGCTGGTTGGTGGTTTGGAACATGTTCTATGACTTTCCATCATATGTGGAATGTCATCATCCCAACTGACTTTCAGTCCATCATTTTTCAGAGGGGTGGGTATAGCAACAACCACCAACCAGATGGGATTCTATGATTTATGTTAGGGCAATCAATGGCTATCAGCCCAGTTAGGGGATAGGCATCCCCTTGGACGCTGTGATTTTTGCCAGGCTCGGACCATCACCCTTGGGGAGGCTGTTTGGGATGGAGGGATGCACCGTGACATGGACGACCCCAGTTGCTGAGTGGTGAATTCTTGGTGGCGTGGTGATATCTGGAATTAGGTTAGAATATCTGTAAATATGTTTTGTTAGAATATCTTGTAGAATATCTATATCCACCAACCAGATATTTACATCATTCCCCATAATTTTTTGGAATCGGTTAGAATATCTATAAATATCTGGTTGGTGGTGACTGGAACCATGGAATATTGAAAGACTTTCCATATTCATTGGGAATGTCATGATTTTTAACTGACGAAGTCATATTTTTCAGAGGTGATAGCTATACCACCAACCAGTATGGTTCTTAGATGTTCTTAGGTCAACCCTCCGGGGACTTCCGTCAGTGGCGATTCGTTCCGTCAGCGTCACGGCAGGTGATCGGAGCCAAAGTTTATAAGCCCGTGCGGAAACTGGAGCCTGCCATCGAATCGGTGATCCCAGAGGTTCAACGGTTCAACCGGTTCGGCGGCGGTTGGTTGACTGAGCTGTTGAGGTTGATGATTTCTGATCGTTGAGGTATGTTGAGGTAGAATTGTGTAGACTTGTATATAGTTCTGTAAGATTGTAGAACAGCAGAGCAGTATTATCATTACAACAGATTCATTTTCGGATGTGTACTTCGTTTTGCGACACCGGGTGGAAGAGAGAGAGAGAGAGAGATTTCCCACATCGGACAGGTGAAGATCTCGTAGTCAGAAAAATGGTCCAGCTATTAACTGTTCATTTTTCCGGAACATTCACCGGGGCCACTGTTCATTACCCTCTGGTAATTTAACATAACTATGGAAAATCACCATTTTTAATGGGAAAACTCACTATAAATGGGCCATTTTCAATAGCTATGTTAGTTTACCAGAGGGTAATCCACGATTTGTTGGATGGTGCACAGAGTGTCGAAAAAGTGGGTTTTCCAGGACTATCAGAAGTGGGTTCCAGTCGTCACCCGCTGGACCTGCAAAGCTGTGGCCATTTCAATGGCATGGCTCTGGCCTAAGAGATTGGGCCAAGAGACGGCCAAAGGAATGAAACCAGAAAATAGGGATATTCATCAAAAAGCCTGGGGTATAATTGGAACATATGGAAATCATTGGGGTAGTCATGGGATATTATATATCCGTATCAACCATAGATTATTGATCAATCTGATATATTAATCAACCAGAGATTGATCAACAATGGGATATCATCATGGGATGTAGTGGGATATGTACAGTAATAAACAATACATAAAACTTTGGGTGTGTCTGAATATGTGGGATTGACCACCAATAAAAATGCCAAGTTTTCAATGGGGAAAATGAGGTTCTAAACCATTGAATTTACGGGGGTCCCCTAGATGTTCAGACATGTTGGTCCATGTTTAGCCAGATACTCAGCTATCTATTATCGTTATATTATGATGCTTGCAGATACCCCGATATAATCATTGAAGTTTAACGAAAAAGATCGCCCGCCCACCAATTAAGGCTTTAATGGTGGGTTGACAGGCTAATTAAGCCCCTCGCGTTGGGTGATTCCTTTAGGGGGGTTACCCTTGAACTTCCAAATCATGATGTTTGTAGATAACCCATTTATAATGGCTAATGATATAGCCCAATTATGACTAATCAATCTATAACATGATACCCTCTGGTAAACATACAAAAAACTATGGAAAGATCCACCATTTTTCATGGGAAAATCCACTATGTCTATGGTCATTTTCAATAGCTATGTCAGTCATTACCAGAGGGTATCATGAGGCAAGCCATGGGACCTTCCAGCGATACCCTGTGACCTTCCTAAATTTCTTGATGTCCTATATAGGTCTACCTATATCATATCCAAATAGATCATCATATTGATAATATGTATATATATATATATATATACATTTATTTACAACTATCATAGTCAAAGATATATCATATCATATATATATATTTAATACATATATATATATCATACATATATATATATATATATATATTTGATATATATATATACATATATATATGTATATTAGCACATGATACATCGATATATCCCAATCAGAAAATCCTCCATCGGATTCTGGCGGAAATCGTTAGGTGGATTCAGCGGATCATCTCTGCCGTGCATTCGGCCATCCGCGGCGGCATGATCTTCGGGGAATACCTGGTGCGCCCGACGGGTGGAAACGGCCGGTCCCGTGAGGGTTTTGTGGCCAGGTGGATCCATAAGATCTCCAGAAGATATCCATGCTACGTTGTTAATGGACTAAACCAATGGACCAATGGTAGCTTAATGGTAGAGTAGTGGATGGTTATGGGTTCTGTTATGACTTTTAATTATATCATATTATATCATTGTTTGGCAGAAATGGTAGGTCAATGGGTACTTCTGTTTGATCTGTTCGGCCATAGATGGAGTACGTGAATATCCTGCAGAACAGTTTGACTTTTGGGTAGGTCGCATAAGCAAAGCTACATTCGTATACATCACGGTACCAGTAGGAGGATGATGTTACGGTAGGAGGTTTTGGTATCTCTTCAGGATTTTCTGGGTGTTCACCTGGGTAGTTTTGCCATGTTTTGCCTGGGGAGACGGTTCACAAATCCACCACACCTAACTGAAGCTTCTCAGGAGGGCCAGGCGGCCAGGGTAGGACCCCTCCATGGATTCCGTGGCCAGGTGGACTTTCTGCACGAGAAGGGCTTCTTGGTGGTCGAGCATAGAGACACCTACATGGACGAGGCACCCACGTCCGTCGGTTTTTTGACACACCAGCAGCTGCAGCAACGTTTGATGTTCCCAACATGGAGTCGTCCAACGACTATGAGGTACCCTCTGGTAATGACTGACATAGCTATTGAAAATGACCATAGACATAGTGGATTTTCCCATTAAAAATGGTGGATCTTTCCATAGTTATGTTAAATTACCAGAGGGTATGTTTTCGGTTGATGAATCATGGCTGACGTGAAACTGAAGCGTCGGCAAAAACGGTGATTCCAGATGATTTTTCCATGATCGCAGCCCGCGGGCCGAAGTGGGCCACAGGCTATTGGCTGGTCCATCGCTGCGCTGGGCTTTATCACACAGCTCTTCTTAGGGTGCCTCCAGCGATGTAGGGTTTAGGGATGGAATGGAATGGAATGGATGAATACATCCTGAGTCCTAGAGTTTATGTCCAATGTTTTCACTTCACACTGTGATTTGCGTTAATGTCCCAGTTATAAGTTATAAGGGGCTGTAGCTAGGTATTTGGATGATAGATGGTGAAGAAAGGTCTAGGAAACCTGGGTGAAGTAAAACCTCAATTTTTATAGGCATACTGACAGGTTTGCTGCCCCTACGTCCCAAATGCATCCAAATACTGGGGGGGTATATTTGCTATGTAAAGAAATGAAATCACCAATTCCTTCTCCCCCCCACAGCGCTGAGACGAAGAAGTAACTATACAGATATCAGATTTGGGCAATATGTGGGCTGTGGGCAAACTCTGGAAGGTTATACAGTTATACACAAGAATATTGGTTACTAAATCCGCCCGCACCGAAGGTGCTGGGGCGTGATCTTCCGGATGGCACTCGTAAAAGGTTACAGGTTTACCTAAGGGGGTGGGCATTTTTCGGCCAAAACCTCCTGTTTTTGATAGGTCGTGACGCTCGCCTTCAAAAAACACTGTAAAAAACAGTACGGAAGACACCTGTTCGTGAACGCGCCCGTCCAAAATCGGCAAGCGAAAAGTGAAAAAACCCGTGTTTTTCAACTTTTTGACCTCAATTTTTTGGTTTGCAACATCTTTTTTTGCGGTTCCGCAGGTGGCCGGGCCCGGAGGCGGATTTTTGAGTTTTTGGACCCGTTTTCGGACTGATTTTCGTCGTTTTGTGATAGCAGAAACACTGGTTTTTACAGTGTTTTTCTGTTTTCTGCATGCTTGACGGCTAGCTTCAAAACTTCCAAAAACCTCGTAAATTACGCTGTTTTATGTTACGGTGTGAATGAAAACATCGTAAATACCAGTGTTTTTTGACGTTGGTTAAAAAAACACTGTAAATTACAGTGTTTTTGGCCACCTGACCCTCAAAAACCATGGTATTTGCAGTGGTTTCTGCTTCTCACCGCGCAAAAACACTGTAAATAACAGCAATTTCGCCGTTTTTTCATGTTTTTCGTTATTTTTTGAACTGCGTTGGTCCGCTATACATGGCTATCAAATTCTTCGCGTTTTTTTTCCGACAATCAGTACTTTCGGATGTTTTTGGTCTCAATGGCCGACATCATTGGCAGTTACGAGCGGCTGCCCAACGATGCGGTGCGGGCGGTTGCCGTCGCGAAGCGACGTGAATACGTTGAGGTGTAGCAGCGTAGCCCGCAACTTCTGCCCATGTTTCATGGTTCTTAGCTAAAAAAAAAACCTTGCGTAAACAAATATGAAACACACCATAACTGGTTGGTGGTGGCTGGAACCATGGAATTTTATGACTTTCCATATATTGGGAATGTCATCATCCCAACTGACGAACTCATATTTTTCAGAAGGGTAGGTCAACCACCAACCAGATAATACACCATAGCTTCCCTCGAATAAAGTCACCAGGTTCCAACTGCCCTTGATCCTAAACCTGGTGCTATGGCCCGTGCAATTGCTGGAAGCCTTCATCGTGGCTTGGAGCAGTGAATAAAGGGACGAACAATTTTGCATCTGGTAATCAGCTCCATATTTCAATGAGGTTCCCATACTATATAAGATACATATATATATATATACATATACATATTATTACATTATATATTATAATATTATATTTTGTGTATATATATATATATATTATATCAAAAATAAAATCCATCACATATTTAGATGATTTTGAACATGACCTTACTTTGACGTCACTGGAATGATGGTTTTCAAGAATAAGAACTCATGCCCAAATGGCCGGGTGATATCTACTTTGCAGGCTAGTGAATAGCATAATCCGGCCAGGAAAAACAAAAATATATATATATATATAGGACAGATGCCCATTTAGTTTGGGGATAGGCCGATTGGCAGATAGTAAGTGGCTGAAAGATTGATGAGGGATGGTGAAGGGTAGTTCAATGATTCAACATGTTTGTTCATAAACTTGTTGAAAAAAGTGTTTCGATGTTTGTAAGACTTTGGAAATCCACGGATGTTGGCAATTTTATGCAATTTCGAAGCGTCCAAATGTGGGGTGTTTCCCTTATTGGGTTTACCACTGCTAAGCATTTGCTTACGCAAAAAAACTCAGGGGAACTTTGACCCTGATGGAATTTTTCTATGACGAACCGAGGTTTGGACCGTGAGCAGCTGACCGTATTTTCCCATCGCTTCACATCCTTGGACCCCAGACATCCACCGCGGGGACCCGGTGTGGCTGGGTGGAAAGCACTGATTCGCCCCCCACTGTGGCTTGGTGTCCCAGCGGCTGCTGTAGGTTTGCACAGTTGACTCAGTTGACGTTGCAGATGCAAAAAGCGGCTGCTGAAGGGATGGGAAGGCTTGCCTGGGATGCTGTGTGACAATGGTGGTTTTGCAACCGTTTTTTTTTTCCGTTTGAGTGCGGCAAGGTGAGTTGGAGTTGGCAAGTCTTCTGATAGTCTCACTTCCCAGCCTGAAGAAAGTCGCCTGGATTTGAGATTTTCTAGTGTGGCGTCGGACATCTTGTTCCAGGATCTCAAACAAAAAAATATGGGTATGGGTCAATACCTATAGATACATTTTTAGTGGGATGAACATCCATAAATCCCAGCTATTTTGGCGTTCACTAGGTACCAGGGTTTTGACCCATCCCCATATCTTCCCAGCTTCCAAGTTAAGAGTCAAAATATCTCAAGTGATCTCCACGACAGCAGTATTCTCAGCACTCCAACACAAGAAAGAACTTATCCATATCCACGTAGAAGCCATGGGCAGTGGCGCCGGCAAGCACAAGTATGAGGTGAAGGCCACGGACCTTTCATAAACGCCCTTGGAGTTCATCAGAACTACCCAGGTGTGTTTTTTTCTGATTTTTTGGTCCCATCAAAAAACTGCCAAGTTCATCGAAAAACTCTGGAGCTGTGCCAGTAGCTGGGAGGACCCAAGTGGCGCCAAGACTGTGCATGTGGAGCCCAAAGATGAGACTGCTCCGAAGTTTATGCGATCCCTGTCGCCCCTACCAGAGGAGGCAGAAAGCCTCCTGAATCACCGATGGGCTAGACCATCTTGGGTACCTATTCTATTGTCATTTGGGTTTGCCTCAGACTGGAAATGTTACCTGGAACATGTGGCTATTTCAATGGGAAATATGGAGTTCAAAAGTATTCGAAACCATTCAAAACCGCTCAAAAGCATCGAAAGTTGGGGTACTTTATGTTTGGATATGTTTGGACAAGTTGAAATACCCCCCAAACCAACCCCATCAAATGATCCATCGGTGCTCCGGTCTGACTTCTCCATGACTTGGCCGCGGCCCTGCACAGCCCATGCTCCTCTGTGCGGATGTGGGTGGCACCAATACGCGGTTGCACCTCTTCAAAGTGCCGGAGCGCACAAGGGCGGAGAGGGCAGTTGTAGAGATGACGGATGAGAGGTATTCCGCAGATGAATATGTTTACATATGTTATAAATATATATAATTATGTGTGTGTGTGTGCGCGCACAGCACATATATATATATACATGTATATTTGTGTGTGTGACGCATAGCTTACAATGAGAATATAAGAAGGATCTAATTGGCATATCATGGGATCTATCTATCTAAATCCTGTAACAATATGTGTGGGTTTGTCTGAAAATGGGGTATACCATACCCCTAAATGGCCAGTCTCGTTGGGAAAAATAGGATCGACCATGGGAGTTTAGGGTAAGTTACCCTATCTTTCAAAAAAAACACAAAACACATACTCGTATGATCTCGTATGTATGTATATTATATATATAGAGAGAGAGAGGTTCATGCTGTTGGTGTGCTGATGATGTTTGATCTTAGTTCATGCCCAATTAAAATTTTGGAGAAATATCTGCAGGTCCTTCCGGGAATTTTGGGAAATTTTGGTTCCTGGATTTCCCGGAAGGACCTGAGGAAATTGGCAACTGGTTAGGTGAACTCGGGATTTTTTTCCGAATTGCCAAGATTACATCCAAATGCTCATGTGGCTATGGACCAATACCTATAGATACAATTTGTTAGGGGATGAACATTCATTTACCAGCAATTTTGATGTTCACTAGGTGCCAGGGTTTTGACCCATCCCCATGTTTGTAATCTTGAAATCCAAAACATAACTAACATAACCACGGTAGTATAATGAAATCATATGAAATCCAAAACATCACCACGTGTTTTTTCTGGTGTTTCAACGCAACCTTTCTTGTTCACTGATTTTTCAAGCTTTGCAGGACACCACAACGGCGGTTGTCCCGGACTCCTGCATGGTGTACCAGGTGGGGAACTTCGGCCCGCTGGAACTTTGGGTAGACTCCCAGCTGGTTTGCATGACTTCTCAAACTGATCATTATGATATGGTTAATGTGTATACTGATATACTATCAGCATCTATTAGCCAATATAATGATCATATTATCAAGTATGTACCTTCTCGGACATGTTGATGTGTTCTGATCATCTTTCGAAGATCTGGTAAGGCTGGTACTGCTACTGGTTAAAAGCTGTGAAAGCTGCTGTCAGATCCTGTCCCACAATTTCCCAGAGGCCAAGTATTCCAATGTGCAGTATGACTCCTTCACAGAGGCAGATCTGGCGGACTCTTCCTGAATGGAAACAGACTGTACGAATGCGGACGTTTCCTCGAATTCGTGTTTCAGGAAAGGTGTGAAAACTACAGTAAAACATAGTAAACCATGTAAAGCGCCATGTTTGATGATAAAATAATACAAGATACATATGGTTTCCCTGAAATCTATCCAACTTTTCACGGATAGATGTTGGACTTGACACGGAGCCAAATATCAGCGAGCCTGGTAGGTGGCAATGGAATTCCTAGATGCAGCCAAGCGGAATACCAAAGGCCTTGGTATGTTTGGGCACCCAACTGCCTTACACTACGCTGTGGTGTGATGGAAGGTACAGTGCCAGGATATGCCAAGATAGGAAGCAAGAGTGGATGTGTAGCTTCTAGTTTGCCAGTGAAATTATGCCATGGACTGCAATATGTTCATTTGGATGTGAAGTGAAAGTCAGGTCAGGTGGGAATTCAGCACAAAAATCTGTGCGTTTTCGTCAATAAATTTTACCAAGAAGAGATGCATAAAGAGTGGCGGTAGAGATATGACACAATGATGCGCACGTCTTCAACCAACGATTTCCAGAAAGTCCGGGGTTGCGGCTGACGCAAACCACTTGAACGTATTTCCACAGAGGCTCCTATATCCTCAAGGATGGGTGAGATAAACCATCCCCAAATGGTAGGTTTATTTTTTGGATTATTTTTACATTTTTTGGGTTGCCCACATTATATATATAATTATATATGTACACACATACACACATACACACATACATACACACATCCATCCATCCATCCATCCATCCATCCATCCATACATACATACTTACATACTTACATACTTACATACTTACATACTTACATACTTACATACTTACATACATACATACATACATAGATGTATATGTGCGTATACATATATATATATACATATACATACATACATGTATATGTGCGTATACATATATATATATATACATATATACATACATGCATGTATATGTGCGTATACATATATATATATATACATATATACATACATACATGTATATGTGCGTATACATATATATATATACATATATACATACATACACGTATATGTGCGTATACATATATATATACATATATATATATACATATATATATATACATATATATATATATACATATATATATATATCTATCTGTCGATTGTCAGCCTAAATCCTCCTGGTTTGGTGGAAAAAGAAGAGCCTCCGGCAGCCCAGGTCAGCTCCCTACCTGGGATGTTTTGCAGTCGCGGGCGTGGTGGTAGACAACAAGCCGGGATCCTAGAGGACTTCATGTCGTTTTCAATCGAAAACTCCATGGTTTTGTCCATGGGTAAAAAAATGTTTGATGGGGTATGCAACCTGTAACCAACTACAGCATGATGTGGGAAAATGATGGAAACTGATTCTTCCGAGCTCAGGTTTTGAAGGTTCGTTGTGGTTGCATGATGGTAAATTATCAGGGGGGAATGCCACTGGGAAGTCACACCAGGTGCAACTTGGTGAACCTCGGTTGGAAGATGGACGGCAATCAGATTGCGAAGGTGCCACGGGTTGCTGCCTTCTCAGTGCATAGGTGTGGCCATGGTCATTCAAGTAGAAACCCCAGGATCTCTCATCTTTTTGGGATCTTTTTATTGCAACCTCCAGATGTTTCAGGAGAACAGGAGAAGCGTGTTGCGTAGGAAAAAGACTCATGCTGCGAGGATCTGGGGATGAGGGTGGTGTACCTCATGAATGATTTCGAGGCTCAAGGCAGGGAAAAGGGAAATTCTATCATGGTGGCAGTGGTAATGTTTGAGCCATACCATGACCTTATCGTTCATCAGTTCCGGGGGATACTCCAGGCATGATGAGAATTTCATGAGGGGACATCTTGGAAATGAAAATCATGGTTTGTTCATTGATCAAGTTTAATAAATCATTGACTTGTGTGGCGATGAAGCCGCAGGTTATGGCATTTTGACCTTGGAGCCTCAGAAGGATTGCGACGTGCTCCAGGACGCTTGAAAAATGCTGAAACTCCAGCAGAAATCAGCGCAACAGGAAGGAAGTTGATATTATGGAAATCCTTGGGATCATCTTAGATTGATGTTTCAAGGTTGAAGGTTTTGAATGCTTTTGATTCAACGCAAAGGAGAGAAACCCCTCACCCGCAACAGCAGCTTTCACCCCCTGCAAGAACTGGGATGGTAGTCCTCTTCAAGGAGCACTTCAAATTTTGGCTCCACAAAAAAGTATCAAAGACCAGCAGCATCCACCCAAAATTGCTGCATTTGGGGTTGTCCCAACCTTGGTGAGGCCATTTTTCGGTGCTGTCGTTGTGCCAGGATGCTCCTTTGCTTCCGGGCGCACCTATTGCGCTACTGGGCGCGGGTCCGACATCCTCAGGGCTGCCAGGTCTTGTTGGGTGAGGATCTCATGGGTTGACCCACAACTGGCTGGTGCCATTTTTTTGCGTTATCTTCGGTGTCCAAAGGGGATGATGATCATTGGACCTATTTTAGATGTTTTTCTCAAGGGTGATGACAAACAAAAGCATTATATAATATTATAAATTATATATATATACACACCCAACTCTATCATAGGTGGTTGATCCATTTGTTTCATCTCTTCCGCCCAATATGCCTGATGTTAAAGACCCTCGCATGTGGGCCCCCAAAATGAATAGATCCAATACTCAGAATATTTGGGGTTGGTATTTCAGAAAATTGGAGGAATGGGATTGAAGCAATGATGAATAATCCCCACATGTTTAGTGATTATAACCCCATCATGCCATCATATTGCCATTTGATGTTGAACAACTTAGGTACTGGTCTGGGACAAGCCTTTATGACAACTGGAGAGAATGGAGACTATGAGGCGCGGGTGATATGTCATGAGTAACACTGTGGGTTGAAATGTGTATAACATAATTGTTTGTGTATATATTTGGGTACACCTTGGTGAAGCGTAGTTTGAAAGTTTGATGTGTTTGTCATAAATGGAGATGTGCACGACTCTACCTAGCCATAAAACATGTTTTGCTGAGTATGAAAGATTGGCAGTATGTGCAGTCCAAAAAAAGATGGAAAGGCTACTTCCCACTGTTTTTATTGTACCAGCTGCTGATCTAAGTTTGGACCAGAGCCGGGGATGGTCACACAGCCAATCTCAGGAATCTCTGTGACGTTCCCCTGGTCACCCTCTGGTCGAACTTCACATAGCCATGGAACCTCACCATGTTTACCCTGTGGCAAACTAACACAGATGTGGAGAATCAGCATTTTTTACAAGTAATCCATAAACGGGCCATTTTCATCCATTTTCCACATCTATGGTAGTTTAGCCTAGGGCAACAGCTAAATCATCAGACCTTATCCAGGGCCAGCCCTGTCGGCCCTGGCAGCGGCGGCCCTGCAAACCTGGAGGTCTGGCCGTCTGAAGGTGGTCATAAGGAGTTTGCTCCTCGACAAGAAGGAAGTCAAAACCTGCAGAGTGAAATGATGAAGTGCTCCAGAGCAACATGGCTTTTATGGCTTTTATTTTTCTGGCAAAAATATGGTTCGTGGTTTCTCCAAATTGATATCTTTTGGAGATCCAACTGGAGTCAGTTGGTTCAGGGTACCGAAGCCACTTGAGTGGAAGCCAAGAAGCCATTTGATGGGATTCTGGGTGTTGACCTCAAAAATCCGCGATCTGGTTTTCGTTCACCAAAAGTGCCATATTGTACCTATATCCCAAATAGAATCCCATAATACTCGTAATAGTTGGTACCATAGAATATCATAATCCCATATGAATATCCAAATTGATCTACATCCATAGAATATCCCCATCATGAATAGTTGGTCACATCCCCTACCCTGGACAGGTACTTGCAAATCCGCTTCAGCGCAAAGTCGCGAATCAGCGTGGAACGCATCGTGAGCGGAAGAGGTGCCACCAAAGCAGTTGATTTCCAGCAAGCGAAGGCGCTTGCAACAGGGTAAGATAAAGATAGCTGATTGGTTCTGTTCCTCGTACTTATTTGTTTGTTTATAGTTATTAATACTATTTAATTATATCAATTATATCAATGATATCTATTAATATAATATTTATTTGTATTTATTTATATGTCTGTATTTATTTGTATTTATTTATAGATCGATTGTTTTTTATTTAGTTGTCCTTATTCATTTATTTGGGGTGTGTTCACACGTGATTATTTTTTTTCTAGCTGGTGAAAACCACCAGATATGTATCATGTGGTTCATGACGGTTTCTGAATTTCTTTATGTTCAAAGTTCAAACTATGCTTAACCAACAATACATGATTTCTGTTGTTGAAGCATGTTCAAACCATACCCCCACCAAAACACTCAGTTGCTCCAGGTATTGCGAACATCTATCAGTTTATGGCCTGGAAATTCCCAGACAAGATCAATAAGGATTGCGGGCCCTTGGAAGCAGCGCGGCGATGAATTAGCGATGAAGGTTGCATCCCTGTGGAGAGACCCCTGTATGGTAAAGGATTCGATGGAAGCGGAGAAGCGGGGACGTGGATGAGTTTTTTTCATGTATGAAAATGGAGTGCCTCATGGTTCATCACATTTTTCCGACTAAAACTGCAGGTTTGGGGTATTGAGACAGAGCCTAATCTACCAAATTCCGGATATTCCGGTATGCTTTACCTTGCCGCATCCCCACGTCACCTCGTTGGCCTTGTCAAAGATTCAACACTCCATTCCGGCCTCAGATATCTTCAGATCCCAACTCCCATGATATTTAATCTATACATGTTTTGAGGGGGAACATGATGGCTTGACACAAGATAGGGCATGTCAATAATAAATCTTCCAATATGATATATCAAATGCTCTTTCAGGATATGGGCATATTTTTGTATGGCCAAAGTTTAGGTACCCCAAGAATTAGAGGGTTACCCTCTGGTAAACGTTTACATAGCTATGGAAAGATCCACCATTTTTCATGGGAAAACTCACTATAAATGGCCATTTTCAATAGCTATGTTAAATTACCAGAGGGTAACAGTTAACACTAACAATAGACTAAGATCTGTCGTCTCCTGGGTCTTCAGTTTTGACTCACACCCATCTGGAGCTTTCGAAAAAAATGGTGGTACCTCCCAATAAACATCCAAAAAAAAAGACCGGTTTAGTATTAAGACCTATGGTTTCCGGGATCCCCCATTTGAAGAAACCCCGATACATACATAATCATACATACATACATACATACATACATACATACATACATACATACATACATACATACATACATACATACATACATACATACATACATACATACATACATACATACATACATACATACATACATACATACATACATACATCACATACATACATCACATACATACATCACATACATACATCACATACATACATCACATACATACATCACATACATACATACATACATACATACATACATACATACATACATACATACATACATACATACATACATACATACATACATACATACATACATTTACATACATACATACATACATTTACATACATACATACATACAGACAGACAGACAGACATACAGACATACAGACATACAGACATACAGACATACAGACATACAGACATACAGACATACAGACATACAGTTATTGGATGGGAGCATACAGTTATATGTATCCATTAGATCATCCAAATATATTTATACAATCGTATTTATCTCCAACCACCTGGCCACGTTGCCAGGAGATCCATCAACTCTTCAGCAACGGCGCGCGCAAGGACGGCACCGTGGGGCCGGTGTGCGGAAGCTCAGGGGACCACGTCCGGATGCGCCATGACGGCTCCTTGGATCGGGGGTTGGGATGGTCCAACAAAATAATGGTGTCCTAATGTAGATCTTATATGATCTTAATTAGGTATTGGCAGGGATTCTTCAGATAATACCTGGTAATACTTGGTATCTACATAGTACCAATGGGTTCTGATTGGTATGTTTCCTGGTTATTACCCAAACTTTCAGGGTGGGTACCTGGTATCCCTGATATACTTCAGACCAAGGCACGACCCCGCCGTGATCGTTGAGGCCAGCAACTCAGGTTGCGCAGCCTTTGGGTGTGAAAGGTTTGGAAGCCCCTAATGGCTGGGTAACCCTTTGGATGGGTGGTCGGGTAGTCCTAACTAATCTTTGACTATAGATGGGAATAGTGTGGAATAACCAGCTAAAACATGCTAAAACAAGAACAGTTCTTTGCGAGATATCTCATGTTGACCATGCAGACCCACAGATGTCAAATTAGGATCTATAAGGCCTGTGTTGTGGAGATATTTCCCTACATAGCCCGGAATAGCCGAGGCCGCCAGGAGCGGTAGCTGCGAGCTGTGTTTGAAGACGATGGACCTGTTCACTGGGGCATATGGATCAGAGGTGCCGGCCCCCTGGATCCCCCTGGTGCCCTGGGGCCCGCTGATGATACTGATGGTATACTTGAGGGCGGGATTCTGAGAGTCCCCCCGGGCTGGGGTTGTTTCGTCGGTGATTGTTTGGACTTTCCCAATGGGAAAAAACACCATTTGGGGAATCCATAGGGAAGATGTTTTATTTTGGGAGGGCCATGGGCAAATCCAAGTTGCGGGTGATAATACCATTCCCTCAAGCAGAGATCGGAAATGGAAGACAGTTCTTTCCGCCAAAAGCAAGTGAATTCTCAGGGTTGATGTTTGGTGGGAATTGCTCGCAACCCAGGTAGCCAGGGTTATTGTAGGATCATTTTTATGCAGAGAAAATGGTTTTGGAATAGGCCAATTTGGGTAATAGCCTGATGAATCATCATCAAAAGTGGAAAAAGGATACCCTCTGGTTATTTAACATAGCCATGGAGAATGGCCCATTTATAGATGGTTTACCTATTAAAAATGGTGGATCTTTCCATGGCTATGTTAAATAACCATAGGATACCATCTTTGATCATTTCTGATCCACTTTTGGTGGATTCGTTTGCAGAAGATCCAATAAGAAGCCTGATATCCTGGTCACAGGCGGGGGTGATGGCGCTGAAGTTTATGCCCTTTGGTGGGCTCTTCGTTTCTTGAGCCAAGTTGAGCGGATTGGTGAAGGTCCTATGTCAGTATGTCCTGGAAGACCTACTTGAAGATACCCTCTGGTGAACTAACATAGCTATGGAAAATCACCATTTTTCATGGGAAAATCCACTATAAATGGCCATTGTCCATTGCTATGGTAGTTCACCAGAGGGTATCTTGAAGTATTGAGATGAATTTGGGGCTGATTGAACTGCTTGGTGGCTAAAAACCTCCGGATACTGGGTGATACATGGTGATACTGGGTGATGTTTGGAAGTAACCGCTTGGTGGCTTGGGTTCAAATTCTTGATGTGAGATAGCTCCAGGATCTTGTCGCAGCATGATAGCTACCTCGATGTTTCCCGGATGGGGATACCACTTCTGAACTGTGGATAGACAGTACATTCACCTTCACTACCCATTCACCCTCCATGTGTCCATTCTTTGATAAATAGATATCACATATGATCATATGAATTTGCATATCTATCGTGTGTGAAACTTCTGCGTTTGTTTCAATCACATGTCTTCATCTTTGCCTTTCAAATGGCTCAACCACCCCCCCAGCATCCCCTAGGTCACTGGCGGCGTTTCCGCAAAGACTCGTGGCGGCCCAAGCAATGATTTGGATTTGTCTGCTACCTAGAAAGGCACCAGATGTTTTTTGCAACCCGCAGAAAGATGCAGAAAAGTGTTTCCAGGATGTTATAGCTCATATTGATATGAATATGTCATACTTCAGCATATGTCCAGGTTTCCTACTTTTCTAGGTATTTGCGGTTACTATCGTACTATAGTGATACATCAGGATTGGGAGAGTGAACATCCACGAGGATTTCTTGTTTTGTACATCAAAAAATGGGTAGTAGAAACCATCAATCCATATGGGTTATGGCATTCCGTTACCATTCCATGATGGGATCTTGATGGATCCATAGCCATAGCCGTAGCATTCACGATGTGATCATCTTGTGATCATCTGACGTGACATCAGGTGACTTCATTCTGGGTGAGAAGGGCACAGCGTGCCTTGGCTGAGAACCATCCTGGAATGAATTTTTATCCCAGGATTTATCCAAATATTATCCCTTCCATAACAGATATAACAGTGACATCTTGGAAGATTTCTCCCCTGAATTATCCCAGCTTTGAAAAGATGGCTACTCGTAGGATGGCAACCAAAGGCCACAGCTTTCTCAGGTCGTTTCATTTTTCGGGGCTTTTTAGAGAGCAAATGGATCAAGTGGATGTGGCTCTGAGGCATAATTTCATGGATTCCTTCAATGACAAGGGACGTGTGTCAACGATGCTGACGCTCGGCAAAATGCTTCAGCATTTGGAGAAAAATGAAAAATGCGTCAAAAATGTATAGAAATTTAGAGAAATTTAGAGAAATGTGTCAGAATGATGTAAATTGCTGGTTTCAAACTCTGTTCACTTTCCGTCCCTGCTTGAAGTTGACTATCATGTTTGGGAAGGGCTGAAACCACGAAACAGTGGAAGAATTGGACATGTACTTACATTGGTGATCAAATAGATGCAAAAAGGGCGCTCATTTGAAAATTTACGGGAACCCTCGGGGGATTGTACTTGCTCCTGAAAAGAATGCTGCCATCCACAGATACCTCGTGTCTGCACACCAGGAAAAGAGTACCTGTCGGGGGCCCAGCGGAAATGGTGACCCTCTGATGAGTTGTGAGCTCTTCTTTAGCATGACCTAAACTCATGTGTGATAAGGGCATATAAGGACCTTTAAAAAGCGTGCCACAATTCTAGTCAATATGGACAGGGAATCTCCAACACTCTGGACCCTCCGAAGACCGTATTTTTGAAGGTCGTCTTGAGTTGCCCTATGTATATATATATACATATATATATATGATTATGTATGTATATTATTTAAATAATCTATGTTGGAGTTGAGTCAGATATCCCCCCCACGTTTCCTGTGGGACTTGAGTTTCTTCTGGTTTCCTTTATTCCAGGGTTGGAGCTGAACAGCTGAAGCAGGTCTTTTTGGTGAGGGGCGAGGATATGGGCGAACGCGGCGTCAAGCTGAAGGTGTGGGTCTTCCTTTGATGGATGGAGACGATCTAGTTGCACTTTGGGTTACTGAAATATGTTTTCAATGGCCATGCAACAGGATCCAATTGATTGGAGGTACCTACCATTAATATAAGGCCTATGTTTGAGGCCTATGTAAGGGAATATCCCCATTGATGTTTCAAGAACATTAAAGAACTGAAGCATCAAAAGGCATGAGTTTGGGATCGAACCGCATCAGCCTTTGATAGTCCAACACTGCTTCGACCACACGGTGCACACGCCGACCTAAGATATGCCAAACCCAGATGGCCGCTGTATCTGGATGTGGTGGGTCAATTGTGCGATGAAAATGGAACGGTCCCCAGCGATGTGGGGTTTCCCCCCGAAACCAGGAAATGCGTCAACAAAGAATCCAGGCATCAACTCACAATGTGGTGCGATGATGTACCATCACACCCAAGAATGTAGTGTAAACCATATAAACATATAAACCATACCCTCCATTTGATTCTCATTGACTTAGCTTCGAAGATTGGAGTGCTTTTGGGGGTTACCACGTGTGTTTCCCCAGTTTCACCAGGGCCCCAGTTCCACAGGCCATGAGGATGTTTGCTGAAGCTCTGCAGAGAAGGATGGCATCCAAGGGTAGACAACAATATTGTTAGATAACCAGCTTGAGGCTGATAGGCTGGTGGTTTCCCAGCCAAACACCTGGAGATTTGATGATCCTGGTGGCTCTTTTTTCTGATGGATGATATTTGACCATAAAGTATTCATCGGTGTGAAAAAAATGGGGGTACAAGATGGTATCAGCCGATTGTTTCACCTCAATCCCAGTTGGTTTGATGATTTTCAGGTCATACTAGCCGGGTTACCCAAAGATGAAGGATGATTATAATGAATCATAATCTACGAACTGGGAGGTCCACATCAGAACCATTGTTTTGGATATTTTCCCTATGGATACAAGGTTGTATAGCCTATGACGGTCGAAACCACCAACCCAGTAGTGTGGGAGATAACTGACTGCGAACGTTGCAGTCAGTTGGTGATGGATTGGGAAGGAAGTAGGGAAAATTATGATGTTGGAACATGTTGGAACCCTTCTGTTGAAGAAAAACACGGCATCCAGGATGGCGTTTCCCCAAAGTGTCCTTTCCCAAATCCATTCCCACCATGAATTTGAGATCATTTGGTCGATTTTGGTGCTATTTCATGGCCCATTAACTGCGGCGCTGATAATTTTAAGCAGCGGAAGGCAGTTCGTCAAAGTGGCCAAGTCTATGTGATGACCATTCTCAAGAAATGCCTGGTTCCAAATATGTCGTGTTTTACTTGAGGATTGTATCCGCAAGTTCCTGTCTCTCCCTCCAGTTTGAAGATGCCAATTCGGACCCCGACAAAAACAGATTTTTGCCTCATTTCCTCTGAGAGGAAGGGCTGAAAACCTCAGAAGTGAGGACAAACTGGCACAATGCCAAGACATTCCAACTGCTCTCTGGGCCGGTTCCAGCAAAATAGCATGACTGGTGCCTTTGTGGCTTTGTGGCAGAGCTTCCGGGAAGCAATGTCCTGGTGACATGATTTGGAATGGTTGGGATTTGGAGGCATGTAACTCTCGCTGAGAGTCTTGGAACCAAGGAACCTTAAGGGAAAAATGCATGTGACGCCATGGAAACGCTTGGCGTGTCGGCGTTTGAGGCCAGGATTGGATGAGCATCATGTTGGGGTTCATGGCTACCCCATGTTCAGACAAACCCAAGTATTGTATAAATCCATCTATATTGAATTCATATCATATCCCACTATGTATATATATAATTCTATATATAAATATACATATATGGTCCAGCGTTCCAACCCCCCCGACCATGGTCATGGGTCAGCCATAGTACTGTCCCCCCTCCCTCACACCCTGTGGTGTGGTGGGGGTGTGGTACTATCCCCCTCCCTCCCCTGTGGTGTGGTGGGGGGTGTGTGGTGCAGGGTGTGTGGTGCGGCGGGGGGGTGTAGTGTATGTATGACAATATATATATATAGCATGGTGGGTATGGTGAGTATGGTATGTAATCATCTCATGTACGGTATGTTAGATATGTATGGTATGTTTGGAATGTATGGTATGTTTGCTATGTATGGCAGGTATGGTATGTATGGCATGTATGGTTGGTATTGTATGGATGGTATGTGTGGTATGTAAGCATACGGGTAGTTCATAAGCACGATATAGAAGCATGTGCGTAGTAAGTCCCTAGTATGCAGGAAAGATATGTTAAACACATGTAGTGTTGTGAGAGTACACAGGTAGTAAATAGGAAGTAGATACCTAGCACATGTATATATGACTATAGGTAGCACGTAGGTACTTTGAGGGAGTATGTGTGCTACGTAGGTCGTCTAAAAGGTAGCATGTACCTAGTAAATGCGAGGCTGGTAGTCACAAATGCTGCAAAGACCTAGCAAATACGAGGCTGGACCTCAGAAACGCTGCCAATAGCTTGCAAATAGAAGGGAAGGGGACGGGGGGTAGGAACACGGAACACGAGACCATATATACACATGTAAAAATACATGTGTATATATATATGTATATATATATATGTATATATATATATGTATGTATGTATATATCCCCATGACATATCCACATTAAGTCCACATTATCTCCACCTGAGATCTTCGGCCCACATTTAGCCTGGGCGCAGGCCAAGATGTTTTAGCGCACGGGTGGAAGCAACGAAGCGCTGGTTGGATTCCATCGTCATTGGTGGCTCGGCAGGGGTTAACCCCCAGTAGTTGGGGGGTGAGATGGTGAGGCGCAGGTAAAATTATCATCCTAGATATACATATATCAATTATTAATATATCATTATTATTATTACTATTATTATCAGTGTTAGTATTAATACTGAATACCTAATCAGTTTTCCAATAAGAATTGGGAATTCCTCTTGACCTATCCACAGGGACGGGATGGCGGTTCCCGACCTCGAGGTGAAAAATTGTGCCCTTTTGCAGCTGCAGTCAAAGAGGAGTCCCTTTGCTGGGAAGGAAATTCCTTGGTGGCTGCGGCAAAGTGCCTGATAGCGATGGGTTGAACAGAATCAAGAGAGGAATCAAGGAGCTGTTGGATGGAACCTGTGCAAAATCTTTGAATCACATGCGTCTTTCCCATGTACTTTGCACAAGTCGAGCAGTGGCTGCTAAACCCCTGATAAGTAGTTCGGGGATTCTGCGAACCATATCTAACCATTATATCGATTATTATGTATATAATATAGTACTATATATATATTTATTTATTTATTTATTTCATGTATGATTTTAGAGCCCAGGCAAAACGAGCCCATGCAAATTTCCACAATCTTGAGAATTATAAGAAAGATGAATTGCTCTTCTTTTTCACTAATTTGTCCTTATTTTTTCATTATTTTTGATGCAAATGTCTTATTCACTATGTTTCACTAAAATTCACTATTTTTGACTATTCTTCACTATTTTTCACTAATTTTCAGTATTTTTCACTATTTTTCACTAAATTTCACTATGTGTCATTGTTCGTTCACATTAACTTTCACTATTTTTCACTATTGTTCACTAAGTATGACTAAATTTCAGTAAATTGTCACTAAATGCCACTAAATACCACTAAATGTTCAACCCCTTAAATGTCACTAAATGTCACTAAATGCCACTAAATGTTCCTTATTTTTGCATGGTCTCGTTTTGGGGGGCTCCTAAAGAACACATGATTATTTATTTATGCATTGCAGGGGATTATATGATACTAACCATGAATATGGTGGATTCTCACACTTCAACGGGGAATCCACAACAGCCATGGCTACCAGCGGCCCAGCCAGGACCAGAAGCTCCGGGTGCTCGCCAGCGAGGCCAAAGATGTCATGGTGCCTTTGGATTTCAGGTGTTGGAGGGGGAACACAACGGATCATTGGTTAAGAATGGAAAATCATTGGTTAATAGTGGTTAATACCGGTGAATAATGGTTAATAATGGTTATTAATGATGTTTAATGATGACATACTGTGGATGGGCCAGCGAAATCCGATAAACCACCAATTTTGGATGGTTGAAAGCCTATAAATAGTGGGATGTTTATGATGTTTACCATCTATCAACTGGTGCAGGATTTCGCAACCATCCACAGTATGTTGAGAAAGCACAGTCATAAACCATCCATATTATGGATTGATGATGGTGGTTGGAATCCCCATTAAAAAAAAATGTAAATTTGGGGATGGTGTACTAATTGCTTTACCAACATCACTCAAAATGGCAACGTTCTAGGGAAATGTTAGTGATAAACCATAGGATAAACCATGGGGTGGCATGGGGGACCTTATTTACATCCCATTCTATCCCCTATTTCATATGGATATAGTGGGGATACATTTGGGGATGTAACAAGTCATGGCGCCATTGTCCATGGGGACGATGATGAAATCGCGGTAACATGAGGTAACCAATGAACAGAGTGCATCAAAGATGGGCGTGGTCCAAGAAGGGTCTTCTTGTGGTGTTCACTTTCTGCAGGCGAAGCCAATACAGAGGGATTGGGGAGAAACATTAGTGCGTTCTGTAATTTTGGGCCATAAGCCATATGGGTATGGATCAATACCTATTAATACCATTTTTAATGGGATGAACATCCATTTACCAGGTGTTCACCCACGCATGTGCATGGCTGTGACACTAAAAAAAAGGGGCCAACAGCAGTGATGCCTGAGGCGCTGGCCAAAGAAGTGGCCATGGAGGCAGAGATGCTGGTGGATGGATTGAATGGTCAGCCAGGCACGGGATGGTCAAATCATGGAAGGTGGAAATTCCATCCTTTGGTTTACAGGGACCCAATACGGAACTAGCTGGGAAGTCGCATTTTGCTGGTCGATTGGTTCAGAATGGTAAGTTTTTGCACATCCACTGTTGCAGCCTTCCACGAGTCTTTTGGGACATTCAGTGTGTTGATGTGATCCGTAGATCGCTGATTTTGCTTGGCGATATTCGAACATTCGCAATGAAAGGAAGAGTGCGTGTTTAAAAAAATCTCCATGTGACGTGTGTCATCGTGGATGTGGTAAGGCTATACCTTTCTGGCTAGGGGGTTTGAAACATTCATTCTTTTTCAACCATACAAAAGGGATGATTGGTTGACATGACGAGCATATTTTTGAGATGGGTTACATAGAACATGTTAAAACCACCAACCAGCTTTGGGTGGAAGCATCGCAGTTTCTCTTTGTTCCCTTTCAGGTGCACCAGAGACGACGCTTCTGGTTCTGGATCCATCACAGAGTTTCTGTGCCACCTGGCAAAGTTTCGTGCAAACGCGGCAGCCTCAGTCCCTTGATTGGTCGAGGCCTGAAGTGCCCCTGTTGATTGGGCAATTTGTCGTCAACAGTCACGCAGTGCTTCTGAGATTCTCGATTCTCCTAACTACAACAATATGTTCAAGAGAAAGTCGTCCAAGAATATTGCGCCAGTATCAAACAAGAACTAGTTGCATTGCATTACGTCGGACTGGGCAAATTGCCTAGAATGACCTATGAGTACAATTATCCCTCAGGTCCTGGACGCTACAACAGGAGGCCATCCATGCTCCAGGTGAGGCTTTCTTTGTGGCTAGCCTACAGGGCCCTGATTTCCACAACAGCCCTGGCTTCTTCAGGCCTGGGACGATCAGACACCCCAGGGTTCAAGATGCCCAACCGCTGCAGGTTTCGCGGAGCTGCTGCAAATTGCCAGGGCCACGGGTTTCTTTCCGCGACTGTGGTAATAAACAAGAAACTACTTGAGTCGGAGTGCGGTTATTTTTTAGCATGTCACACCAATTGGATCCTATTGACATACATAAAAATATGTCATCATAGTGGCATCCAAGGACCATGTCTCTGCACCATTGGTGACATGGCCAAGGTCCTCTTCCATCCAGCTGCTGTCCACAGCGTCTATGCCGAGGGTCCACCGGACCCAGCCGATTTCACAATCCGTGCACCGTTCCCAACGGTGCATTTGCTGAGATCCTTGGATGAGTTGGGGGTTGGGGTGAAGGGATTGGTAGATGTACTGTAGATGTGTATAAATATATATATACGTATATATTATTATTATTATTATTTATTATTATTTATTTTTATTATTATTATTATTATTAATTATTATTTACTATATTGATATATATATATATATATATATTGTAATTATATGTAATTATTGTAGATGTCCCATTTTGGGGGTAAAGGTGTAAAGTGTTTGAGCGTCACCTGAACGGCTGGTTTTGTTGGACATAACGCCTGGTATGCGTTGGTATGCATCGTCAAACTAAAGTGTTGACTTTCCATCAGCTTTTGGAAGGAAAGGTCGAACTTTGAACGATCCATATTGAAAGGGGCAGCCATGTAAAATGCTGGCTCCAGAGGTAAAAGGGGAGCAGTGTACGAAAGAGATGACTTCGCAAAAACTGCTCAAGGGCACCTTCCTGCTTGAATACTGCCTTTCCATGACCAACAGATATACGGATGGCAACCCTTGCGGAAGAACCTACATCATCTTACATCGTTATCATCAATTTCCACCACTTGAAGTTTGCCATGTCCTCTGAACATGGTAACGATCATGGTAGAGTGTCCAGCCAGCTTTCTGACGGATGAAGCCCCAAGGAGAAGCCGATGTGATGAAAGCCGTTTGGCCCTCAGATGCTCTTGAAGCGCATTCGATGGGTGAAGGAGCTGCATGGGTTGGCCTCAACATCATCATCATCATCATCAACTGGTTAACTTGGAACATGTTTTATTTTTCCATACATTGGGAATAATAATCCCAACTGACTTTCATATTTTTCAGAGGGGTTGAAACCACCCAGACAATCATCCTCAACATCAACATCATTTTCAGAGGCACCAACCCATCCATATCATCCGTTGCACATTGCTGACCAGACATTCAGGTCACCAGCTACCCAGACACTGCGCAAATCCCGGCGCGGAACAAGGCCAAGCTCCGCAGCAGGGGCTTGGCCTTTTGCGAAGAACGCTGGAGCGTGGTGGCTGGAAAAATCTGAAAGATCGATATGAGCTGGATTCAGTTACATTAAGCCACTCAGCCATATTGATAAGTTGGGTGAAGCCATGGATATTGTTGAGTTGCCCTGGAATTTTGCGGTGAGTTCTGATGGTGTTGGTGGAAAACGTGTTGACGGAGTACGTCACTCTTTTGGCCACTCCAACATTGTTATGTCATGGCTTTCACCTGCGTGAGTCTTAATGGTAGCAAATGTTCATTGATCCAGCAAGGAAGATCATGGAAGATCAAGTTTGCTGTCGCAGCTGATCCAGCTTGAGCCTCACTAGAGCGATGCAGAGTGGAGATGAGTGGAGGGATCTGATCATGTCCAAGTCCGGGATTGCCTACCTTTGAAAAGTCCCAGGCCCCAAACATCTTTGCCAAAGTCAATCGCCAAGGTCGATGATTGCTGAACTACTTCAGACTTATAGACTTATCAAAGCCAAACTTCCCGCCCCTCAAATGCCACAAAAATATCAAACAATCAAGTACTCCACAGTACTCGTATATGGAAGAAGTAGATGGCAGACTGTTTGAACCTTCCAGTTTTGAGTCTCTGCATGATATGACAATCCATGGATATTCAGGGCCTGATGGTTGAGTATCCCCATGTAGATAGGATGTTGGAACCCCCCATGGTTCCAAATCGTCCTGCAATGCCATGGACCAGTGGCATTAGTGGCACTGCGCTGGGATATTTGGTGCTGGTCATTGGCTTCGGAGTGGTTCTGCACCCTGAGCTGAAGGCCTTCTACCGCCATGGCCACGGGAGCAACTCAGCGTGCCGTGTTGTTTGGGGAGGGATGGCGGCAGGGCGCGGAAATGAGTGGCTTGATTCAAAGGGTGCAGGAACATTAGGGATGGCCTGAAGATGAATTCACAGAGTTCATTCTGCTGTTGGATCGAGGAATGAAAAACACTGTGTCAGCCATCGACACGATCTTTGCGTGTCTCTTCTTGGGCCTTTTGCGTTTGGCCACTGGCATTTCTGATCGCCCCATGTGGGAGAAGTTGCGATGGGCTATTCCACCCGGAGTCTTCGTGCCGCTGGGACCGGGACTTGAGATTTGTCTAGAGATCGTGTTTTGGTCGTGACCTAGCCCTTTGCGGTGAAGATGGTGAAGTTAATCGTGTTGTTTGTTTTACCCTTGTTCTGATCTAGTTCATTCTAGTTCTATAGAGGTGTTGACCAAACAGTATTGGTTTCCCTTGTGAATCCCTTGTGAAATGGCCCTAGAGCTGTTCCTCAGCCCATGTTACAATTCTGCCCAAAAGCATCAAACTCTCCAGGTACCAAAACTCTCGCTGGATCATGTGTTGGTCCAATTCTGCCCAAAAAAAAATAGAGAAATGATGAAATGATCATCAAACATCAAGAAAGATAAGAAAGATAGTTTAAATATGTTGTAAATCCCCATAAAAATCACTGAACATCCACCCATTTGGAGGTTTCTGGTGATCACCCTTTCCACCTGGGCGAACTTCCTCAGCTACCAGAGCTTCGCGCTCTCCGCCCCCAGCGAGCTGATCTTCGTCTGGATCTTCGCGCGGCTGCTGCAGCCGCAGGAGCGCCGGCGGCCGTGCTACCCGGACCTGCCGCCGGTGGCGCGGCAAACGCGAACTGCTGAGCTGGGAAGAAATGATGGAAAAAATGATGGAAAAATAGGAAGTGCATGGAAGTTCATACAAAGCTTAGTCATGGTTGATTGATTGATGAATGATGGTTGTTCCCTTTGTGTTCCCAGCCTTTGGATAATTATGTCCAATTGCCGAATATGTTCAGGGGATGTATAATGATGGTTCATCACCTACAAAATGGAAAGGCAGGTCGATTGTGGATGATCTCGTTACATTGCATCTATGATTGGACAGGCGGATTGGCGTCATCTTATGGAAAGTTACAAAAAGCTCGATTTGAGGCGCGATGATAAGAAGTGCTACCCTTTCTTGTTATAGTATGTTATAGTTATGTCTTCAACTTAGGTCAATATGATGAGCTTCAAAAGCTGGAATAGAATGTCGCCCCGCTTCCCCGTCTCTTGTTCAACAAGAAAGTAGTTCAAGATTCTAAACCTTAGAACATAATATCCAACAAGAATCCTGAACATTTCACAATTCATACCCCTATGCTGCATGGTGCTGAAATATTTACCAACATTTACCCCAATAATATGGACCAGATGTGGGTAAATCTTCCAGCACCATGGAGCACATGGGATAGGTTTTCCAGACTACGAGGCTCCAGGTTCTACCTCAACTTTCCAGGACATTAAGACACATATAACCACATCATCATCATCATCATCAACAACAACATCATCATCAGAGGGTGTTGATTCTAAAAAAAGACAACAAATATCAACACCAAAACAATTTTTGGGACATAATATTGTTATGAATAAGTATAAACTTATATCATTAAAGTGGTGAAATCAGCCCAGATCCCATCCGAAGTCCCAGGTTGTGGCCACCACGCTGGGCACTGTCCTGCTGAGCCTCGCTGAGATCTCCGGAGACGGTCACGGCGCTCACGGCGTCGAGGCCTTGGGGGCGGCGTTGCTGTGCCGCGCAGCGTCGGCGCTGATGATGGTGTCCTTAAGGAGCCCTGGGATGAGCGAATGAATGGGGATGATATGGGTATGGATCAATACCTATTTATACCATTTTTAGAGGGATGAACATCCATTTACCACCTATTTCAATGTTCATCAGGGCACCTGGGTTTTGATTTCTAGCCATATTAGGGTGACCAACCTTTGGGATGACATGTTGGGGGCATGTCAGGGAAGTGGATGGGAAAATTTGATGGGAAAATTTGATGGAACTTGGATGGAATGCGGGGTGCCCCGAGGATGAAAGGATGTTGGGTGGAAGTACTGTAGGCAAGATGTGAAGATTTGAGCTAAACTGCGGGTAGAAGCACGAAAATGGAGATGGTGTCACAACCAAAATGGAAAAAACACATCTATGATTTATGGATGGTGTCAGGTCCGAAGAATGGAGAGGCCAACAGTCGTGTGTGCCTGATATTTTGCATTTTACTCGTACGCAACTTAAGAGGGGACGGATCAAAGTGCAGCCCCAAAGAACTCCAATTAAGACCATGTTGGTGGAGTCTTTAAGCCCAGCTCTTTTGCAGGAGTTCCTGTGTGGTGTTGGAGGGTGTGTCCAAGAAGGACACGGCAACTTGCACGGAACAGCTGTAAGATTGCGATCCCCGACGTTTTTGGTGGGTTTCTCAAAGTTGGGACCCTAGCAAACCCACAAAGACGGAGTTGGTGTTTCATTGAGCCCAAGTGCTAGCCGCAGCCTTGTTTTGGAGACTTTTGGAGCACTTGACGTCAATGAGGTGAGTGTGGTTGAAATCGCCTACTGGAAGATGTTGGTAACCTCCTGCCTCTGCCTTCCATATGCTTTCCTCACTGAAGGCTCCGATCGGATGGCTGGATGGGTGGCAAAGCCCGAAGAAACCATGAGTTGTGCTACAAATCTCCGCATGCTTACTGAATGAGTCATCCATGTTTCCTCTGGTTGAAACGATTGTTTACATGTAATGTTACATCGACAATAGTAAAGGGGGGTCCCCGCCCCCTAATTTTTTTTTTTAGGGGGGGGTCTGCTTTGCAATAGTAAATCGAAAATCCCAAGTCTTCCCCAAAGGCTTCTGTAAGGTTTTGACAAATCCTCTCTTTTCTGATGGGCTCTGATGTGATCTTCATTGGATTCTGATAGGAAGAAGGGAAAAAATGCCTGCTAGAGCCAGGAAGGTTGTTTCTTATTGCAAGTGCTAATTCCAGTTTTTAATTGCAAATGCAAGGACCTGCAAGGGGGTACCCTTTGTGGACCTGTTTTTTGCATTTTTTTTAAAGGATTTTAATAAAGAAAACAGCATTTTTGAACAAGGTAAAGTTTTTGATTTGGTAAAGGTTTGCTTTGTTTTTTTGCTTTTGAAAAGCATGCAATCACAATTTAAAACCATTCAACCACAATTAAAAGCACTAAGGAAGAAGGGAAAAAATGCCTGCTAGAGTCAGGAAGGTTGTTTCTTATTGTAAGTGCTAATTCTAGTTTTTAATTGCAAATGCAAGGACCTGCAAGGGGGTACCCTTTGTGGACCTGTTTTTGGCAATTTTTTAAAAGGATTTTAATAAAGAAAACAACTTTTTTGAACAAGGTAAAGTTTTTGATGTGGTAAAGGTTTGCTTTGTTTTTTGCTGTTGAAAAGCATGCAATCACAATTTAAAACCATTCAACCACAATTAAAAACACTAAGGAAGAAGGGAAAAAAATGCCTGCTAGAGCCAGGAAGGTTGTTTCTTACTGCAAGTGCTAATTCCACTTTTTAATTGCAAATGCAAGGGCCTGCAAGGGGGTACCCTTTGTGGACCTGTTTTTTGCATTTGTTTAAAAGGATTTTAATAAAGAAAACAGCATTTTTGAACAAGGTAAAGTTTTTGATTTGGTAAAGGTTTGCTTTGTTTTTTTGCTTTTGAAAAGCATGCAATCACAATTTAAAACCATTCAACCACAATTAAAAACACTAAGGAAGAAGGGAAAAAAATGCCTGCTAGAGCCAGGAAGGTTGTTTCTTACTGCAAGTGCTAATTCCAGTTTTTAATTGCAAATGCAAGGGCCTGCAAGGGGGTACCCTTTGTGGACCTGTTTTTTGCATTTTTTTAAAAGGATTTTAATAAAGAAAACAGCATTTTTGAACAAGGTAAAGTTTTTGATTTGGTAAAGGTTTGCTTTGGTTTTTTGCTTTTGAAAAGCATGCAATCACAATTTAAAACCATTCAACCACAATTAAAAGCACTAAGGAAGAATGGAAAAAATACAGCTGAACTGTAACTGGTTCTGATTTTTTTCCTGCATCCATACTAAATCTCAATTAGCTCCTTTACAATTTAGTATTGTAAAGTCTGATAATTTGGGAATTTTCTGAAAATTATTTGTAGCTATTGCGAATGAACCACATTTTATTGCAGATGCTCTGGACCAAGGTTGATGTTTGTAATTTAAAATCAATAAGGCCTAATTTAAAATCAATAGGGGCTGAAAAATCAGATTCTGAAAATTATTTGTAGCTATTGCACGCGCTTTACTATTGTCCATCCAACATTATATGTATACAGACACACATATATATATATTATATATATTATATTATATATATATATTATATTATATATATATTATATTATATATATATATATATATTATTATATTTTATGTATTATATATATATTAAAAGACCTGTATCCCTTGGTATTTTTTTCCCGCCAGGCTTAAGTCCCTGGAGATCCATGGGCTCCACAGCCTTTTGGGCGGATCAGAGCTCGGCCCTGCTGCTCTCCGGTAGTGTGCTGATCACCATGGGTGGCTGGGCGGATTCGTCTCCCAGGTATTGGCTGAGGTCAAATCTTTGGAGGTCTCCCAACTATGGTTGAGTTGATTCTGATATATTTGTTGAATAAGAATTATACTGGTTGGTGGTTTGGAACCATGGAATTTTATGACTTTCCACCTATTGGGAACAATAATCCGATTTGACTGTGACTTTCAGGTTTTTCGGAAGGGTGGGTTGGAACCACCAACCAGTATATGTTTATCCTGTATATGTAATGTCCTATTGGTCCTAATGCTTGGGGATGGCATCCAACCATCCCCATGCCACCTTCGACCTCCTGCAACGTCGCCAAGGATTCCAATGGTCCACCGTGGGGCTGAACCGATCCTTTCGCAGTCCCTTGTGTGCTTTGCTGGAAAGCACCTTGAAGCCCTTGACGGACGCTGGGCATTTCTTTCGTTTGGGGAGAAAAAAAGTGGTTGCTGGTAAGAGTCCATTGAAGTCTGGGGAAATTTATGGAAAATTGATGAAAATTGACGAGTTTTGTTTGGGGAATGGAGATATGTGATGATATGATATGTGGACGTTGTTGCAATTAGCAATTGAACTAAGATTTCTTGTCGGATGTTGTGGGTATTGGGGTCCGGGTCCCAATTGTTGTTGAATTGCTAGTCCCTCAAAATGCATTGTGTGTTTACAAAAGATGTTTGACTGCACACCGCAACTCGCGGATGGTGGAATGTCTGGAGAATTTTGTTGATTTTTTTGAGTATGTTCATGTCCCAACTGAAGTGATATGGTTGTGGGGATTCAGGACCAGGTCCAATATACCAAGCCCCCAAGGCCCCAAGATTTCTTGACAGATTGGTCAATAAAGATCAGAAGTATCCTAAAAGTATCCTAAATTTCTTTAACATGGTGGGTCCTCCGTGGTCCTCCGAATAGAGCTCCAGAAAAAAACCTAGTATCAGTCAAGTATCAAAAAAGACTTGTTATTCCCGTAATATATACATATACACATACATTGCCCCTATATAAAGATGAACATATCCCACAATGGGTTGGAAAGCCGGATGTTGTTGCGCCAAAATTGTTCAGGCTTGTGCCCTGGTTTTGGTCTTGGCAGACTCGCCGTACCAGAAGATCTTGGGGCTGAAACAGCCGAAGAATGCCACAGAATCTTGGTAGCTACTGGCGTGATTCACCTAGTAAATTGGTCAGTAGATGGGAGTTTGTTATTTTGAAGCGTTTTGAGACTGGTGTTTAATGTTGGATTATGACTTTATAACCAGTATAACCCATTTGCATCCAAACTTGCTAGCCGCTAGCCACTTACCGTAAGTTTGGTGACCTTCCCTCTAGACTCAGTGCGCCCAGCGACCACGAGCCTTGTCAACTGTTCATGTTTCTTCCCTTCGATACAAACTGAAAAGCACATAAAAGAACCATATGCCATGTGGGGTTGGCTCAAATTTCTTCGCCCAACAATTATAGATGGTTTTGTACTGACAATGCTCAGCTGTCACGAGGACATCGTTGGCTTGTGCTGTCTGCTTCTGGGTTTACTTCTCAGCATCTGGTCGTCTCGCAGAAGACAGAGCCAAGTTTTTCAGGAACAAAGTGTGGAGTTCTTGGACAGAGCCAGTTGAAAATGTGGCCAGTTGATATGGCAAGATGGGACTGGGGAAACAGTGCTGTTCAGCAGTATATTGCCTTTCGGAAAGTGAGGAGTAAAACAGATATACTGCTTCGATAGTATGACTGATCGTGTATGCTGCGGTATTAATATGTGCCCAATACTTTCAGCATTTCGATATACTGATATGTTGGTAATATTACCCTCTGGTTATTTAACGTAGCCATGGAAAATGGCCCATTTATAGATGGTTTCCCTATTAAAAATGGTGATTATCCATGGCTATGTTAAATAATCAGATGGTAATATGATGTACTGCAGCATTCTCAGTGGGTTGACACATGTTGCATTGCTGTTGGGCCACCTCCAGATTTCCGGATAAGAGTTCGGAACTGCAGTTGTGACCACTGACTACTGCAGCACTCAATGATATGGATACGTCTTCACCAACTGGAGAGGAAACGGTTTCATCTCCCAAGCAAAGAACTGGATATCCTGGGAAAGGCAGGCCTCAAAACAGGTCTCAGAATGTCTCAGACGCATGTGAACCTCAAGTAAATGAAAGGTTACAAACGGATTACGAATATATACAAATATGTTTGCCCCTTTACCTGCAGTGCTGTTTCCTTCAAATTGGAATACCCTTCTCTTCAGACCTCTTGACATGCAAGTCAGTCAAAGATGCCCCTGGGGAACGTCCCCTGACCCCATTGGATTTCATGGACGATGCAATGGAAGATGACGATCTGGCTGCAGCCATGGCCATGTCGATGGAGGTGGAGGCGGCGGTTAGATGGCAATGAAGTGCATGTAAAATCATATAAATACATACAGAACTACAGATATGTGCTGTAATATCTATTATATATATATGTATGTATAAATATATATATATATCATTATATATATAGATATGTATATATCCAGCAATATCATATCATACTTTCCGTATTTAATTTGTAGAGCGTGTGTAGTTGATAGCCTTCACGCTGTCACTGTCCTGTCCTCTCTGTCCAGGGCCCGGCGGCCAAAGCCGTGCGACAGCTGCGGGAGAAGAACTCCGAAGCACAGCTGGCGGAGGCGAGTTCCATCCAGGTGCTGTCCACTTTGTTGGGAAACTTGGCACCTCAGCGGCATTGGGGGTTGGTTGATGGCCCAAGGATATCCAAGGATGGTGGGCCCAAGTGCTTGATATGTCGGAGAAAATGACATGATACATGATAATACATGATATAGTCTTGAGCTGCTTCTTTCAAGATTGTGATTTCACAGTGTCTTCACATTTCCACTCCCACCGTGGGAATATGTTCATCAAACTGGCCAGACTTCTGTGTAAGAGGAGTAGTTCACCAGCCAGTGGCCAGTGGCCAGGTGAAGAGTCCTTCTGAGGAGTCCGTCTCACGCCTTTTCGGTGCGGTTTGGGAGTGGGAAAGGAGGTCATGTTGAACTCACTACAGTATGGGTCCAAAAGTTCCAAACAATATTTGAACAGTGGCTGTGGGAGACTCAGAGACTCCCATCGATTGATGATTGTCGGGAAATTTACTACTCAATGTATTGGGGATTGTCATGGATTGTCATAAGCATCCGATTTCCTCCTTTTTGTGATGTCCTCAAGGCCAAGTTGCATGTTCCAACTTATCACCAGGAGAAGTATCGAAGAGTGAAACTTTCGAACAAGAAAATCAGCAGCTCGGCTGCTCGCTTCATCAACCAACTGCCATGGGACCGAGATCGGGATGCAGTGCCTCTCCCAACGTTGGGGAGATTTAACAACCTCGCCATGCTGCAAAATCACTTCGACTATTCATTTGTGCTGCAAAATCAGTCTCCATGATTGGTGGCGATCCCATTTCTCTGGGAACTGCATGTCTTTTTCCCCCCCAGAAATTTAAAGATGTGTTCGTCCCACTACAAGCCATAGCTGCCGGTACGATCTCCTTCTTTTTGCTGAAGGTATGGCCTTGAGCTGTGCTGGTGCAGAAGAGTTATTGGGAGCTGCAGGTTTTGCGAAGACAGAGGACCAGTTGGAGGTTGGGACTGGCTGAGGTCTGTTGGAGCCTGGTTTCAGAAATTCAATACTTAAGAGCTACTGAAGAATCTGACATGGGTTGAAGATGCGTTTGCTTCTTGAATGCTGACGCATATGCAATCAGTGTTATTGCTGGCTGGATGATGTATTCATGTATGCTCATGGACAAGTAGGTCCTGCAACTCGGGGTCACCGTGGCAGGTGCCCTCCGACTCCCCGCCGGAAAAGGTGAAGGTGGGCTCCCGCAGTCAAACGGCTGGGGTGTACACGATTTTTTGCTTGGAGCCATTCGACATGTGGGGATGCAATCTTGACCCAGCCCATTATTTGCTTCCAAGTGCTGCCCCAGGAAGGATTAACTCCCTAAGTCATGGCACAATCTTGGCGAAGCCCGCAGATTTGCGAGGCAGATGCTGAAGCCGCTCTGGAGGCACCGACCCGTAAAAACGGTGATGTACCATCCATCAGGTTGATGATAGATATCCATAGATATCCTGATTTGCAAAAATCTGCACAGAGCAAAATGAAGCGGTGCCTCTGAAAACTCATGAAAACTCCAGGCCTTGAGCTTCGTGAAGGGTCACATGGTGCTGTCAGCGCAGTTGCGCGCTGAAGGTCGGAAATCCTGTGGCATTCCTCTTGTTTGGTGGGGACGGTGCCGGTGGTGTTGGTGTGTTTTAGAATTCTTACAATTTGTCAAGTGATCTCTTCCATCACATCAGTAGGGAGGTCGTTGAACTGATGTTTGCAGCAGGCGAAGTTCGCTGTGTGACCACACTCGCATCCGGCGGCCTTGCTTTCGGCAGCATGGAAGCTTGGCTCTGACACAGGAAAGTGGAAAACAGGAAAGTGTAAGGTTCCCAAAAATTGGCAAATGGGGATGGGTCAAAACCCTGGTACCTAGTGAACCCCAAAATAGCTGGTAAATGGATGTTCATCCCACTAAAAATGTATCTATAGGTATTGACCCATACCCAAATATAAAGGGGAATTGTGGGGATATATAATATATATATATATAGTATTGTAGTGGTCTACTCAAACCAAGTATGGAATAACATGGACAGTGATGGTCAACCATGAAACTTTTTGGGGCTGCCTTACTTGCAGACAAACCCACTTGGCCAACTCGAAGGCCGTTTAGCCACACAACCATCTCCAATGGTTCCATAGGTTCACTGGACAGTCAGTCAGATATGAGATATTGATTCATGTTGTTTGATCTGTTTGAAACAACATATAGCATGCATGACTCGCACCATGTTGCTTCATGAATAATTAATGAATTTGAGTTTGTGGGCTCAAGTTTGCTGTGCTCAGGGGAGTTTGTAGGCTTGTAGACTGTCCATGGAGTAAAACCATCCCCCAAAGGTCTTTGGGTTGATATGGGCTGACCCCTGCAGGACAACCTGATCCGCGTCTACGGCGCCCCTGGCTCCGGCGGCTTTTCACAGCCACGGATCTTGTCGGGACACCAGCGTCGCGCAGGTGTGGACGGCGTTTTGGCGCTGGTGGTGATGGAAGGTGACCAGCTGGTATCTGCTGGGCGCGATGGCCGCATCATCGTGTGGAAAGATGGGGTTGAGGCAGGGGATGAGACGGGAAGGCAGGTCTAGTTTTGTGGTTGCTCAACAGCTGTTCCCACATCCTCTGCAACTCCTAGCAGCCTAGCAACTTCATACCTCAGCAGCAGAACTATCGTTAAGAAACTTAAGGACATTCATGTGCACCGGAGTGTTTCTTGGAAATGTAGGTCAGTCAAAACCTGCAAAAATCATTATAGGTCAGCAAAAGACCTATAATATATATATATAGTATACAAATATACATTACATTTAAATTTACATTACATGACATTACATACGCTCCCTGCAGGTGGCAGATCTGAAGGGCCACGGCGAAGGCATCCAGGGGACCAACGTCCACGTGGTGAGTTCTCTGGCCACCGACGGCCGGTCCTTGATCTCGGGCGGTTGGGACAAGACGGCGGCTTGGTGAAGAGCTGGGAGGGCCATTTTGGGCGATCCCAGGGATGATCCAAGGGATGAAAGTTGGGATTCCAATATATTCCAATCATGTGGACAACGAAGAGGATGATGAGGATGGAGGTTTAGACCTTTAGGATCCTTTCGGAGACCATCGATTTTGTAGCCTCGATTCAGGATTGCAAATCCAAGAGCAGGCAAGGAGAAAAAGAAGAAATGAAGAAGAACAAGAAGAACAAGAAGACCACGCAAAAAAGAAGAAGAAGAAGGAGGAGAAAAACAAGAAGAAGGTTGTTGTTGCTGTTGTTGTTTTGGTTGTTGCTGTTGCTTTTTGTATGGGGTGTTTGTCTTTTCTTGTTTCCAACCGTTCATCCAGTTGGTTGATCTTGTCGGAAGCTCAGGTCCGTCTTTGGGAGAATCAGTCCCAGAAATTCGTGATGGCTGGCCACGACATTGCCGTCAATGCAGTCGCAGGAGTACGGGGTAGATGAACTAGCAAGGTATAGCTGGCGTTGCAATGTGAAACCATGCTTTGCTTGTACAGTACTGTAGGGCTATATATTTGGCTTTCGACATGATGGATTTGATCTCTGCTTATCTTTTGTTGTTCGAAATTTCGTTGAATTTGCCCACAGCCTTTCGTATTGGAAGTTTTAATCGCGTCCTCGTCGTCGTCGTCCTCCTCCTCCTCCTCATCATCATCATCATCATGATGCTACTACTCCTCCGCATAGCAAGTCAGTTCCATCACGCCATTAAGAACAGTCACAGGCCTTTCCAACGGTGACATTGTGTCCGGCAGTGGCGATCAAAGCATCGGCATCTGGCGCAATGGGCAGAAGGTGATGACTCTGCAAGCGAAACAGGCGCACTAGGACAATGGGGGAAACATTGGAGAAACCATAATCTGGGGGGGTCCTAAAATGTACCCCAAAATGGATGGTTTACCAATGGTTTATAATGAAAAAATACCTCGTAAAATGGATGATGTTGGTCCAAAACCTCGGTGGTCATGGGCAAGCCACGTTTGAATTTTACCATTTCAAGATGACAGTTTTTTTCAGCCCCCCCGACTATGTCAAAGATGTGGAGTTCCCCGACCTGCCCTAGTTTGAGCTTTTTTGGCTGGTTTCCATGTAGTAGCTGCGCCCATATGATCACTTCTTCCCAGAATGATGGATTGAAGCAAACCACCGAAGAAATAAGATCATACTATATAATACTATAAGTCTGTGAATTTCTACGTTTCATGTCATGGTTTGAAACCCACCAGCAAATAATTGCATCAGTAAACCCACATTTTTTGCAACGCAGTTCTACTTCCAAGCAGGTACATGGCCACAATGACAGGTTTTTTTAATCCCAACTTGCGGGGTTTCAGCCATGGTTTTATCATGTGTATCCATCAACAATCCCAACTTCACCCCCAAGTTCAGGACTTGGGGGGTGCAGTTCCAGTTATAAGATATTATAAGTGGATATCATATGACATTTAATTATACTGTATACATATATATATATATAATTGTATAGGGACATAGGGCTTATATCATCTTATATCCCAAGTGATATTTCACCATGGCTCTCCAGGTGGTTCGCGCCCTTTGCGCCCTGGATGGAAGTCGGGTGGCCGCCGGCAGCAACGACGGCTTCGTACGCCTCTGGGACGCGTCCGGGAAAATGCTGGCAGAGCGGCAGGTGGCACAGCCGCCCGGCGGTGATGGCACGGGGGTGACAAGGGGATGTAGAAGTGTCCCATGGTTAGTACATTTATACATATATATATATATACATAAATCATATATAAATATATATATATATACATAAATTATATATATATAAATTATAAATATCTATATATATATTTATCCATTTAATGGGGAAGAATTTGTATCCATGTTTCCCATATTTATCCAATCTTTATCCCATGTAGTACATTTAGTCCCATCATTCTTGGCTGTCCTCGGGGTAAACTAACACAGCTATGGAAAATCACCAGTATTCATAGGTAGATCTCTTTCTACCGGAGGGTACACAAACGGTATATTGGGGATAAGACAATGGTGATATAATGGGATAATTATAGTTACCAAATTCAATGATGATGGTGATGTAATAGGAACATAATGGAGATGTTGTGGAGATATAAAGTATGGGATAATGATATTATATATATATATATATATATATAACAATGATCCATATATACCCATAGAGTACATGAAACCGTGGCTTTGTCGGAAAAAACACAGAAAATGATGACCAACCAGTTGAGTTATATGGGGACAGCTTATTTTCCCCATGAAACCAAGTGTTGATATGTTAAGCGACCTAATAGAATCATGGGGATTCTTGGGTTCTTATATGAGTGTTAATTGTCGGTTGTAGTTGATGAATGTTCACTTTATATCCATGTAAATATGGGGGCTATGATCCATGAGCTGAGAAGCGCAATCAGCCAACTACTGCGTGATTAATTTTTCACTAGGTTTTGACATTGTTCATTTGAGGTTTTTTGAATACAATCAGGGCGATGATCTTGTGAGGATAAAAAGTATCTAAAAAAACAGGATCGACCCAAAATGGCAAATGCGGTTGGGAAGTGAACGTGTTCAGTGGTCTCCTCCATTTTTGAGGGATCAAGGGACCCTCTGAATCCTTTGCCCTCAGAAATTTCTGGGTGATGGCGCTTACCACAGAGCTGATCATTTTGTATTGGCTAAGTAGACAGCCTGTGGCAATATGGAGGCAATGTAGTTGCAGGTGTCTGTTTCCATGGTTCATAAGTTCCTATAGCCTGGCGGTGCTCTCCAGTTATGTCTGTTGGTTTACAACCTCCATTAACTATAGATATCTCTAGATATCTCTAGATACTATAGAATACTATAGATACTATAGATACGATAGATACGATATATATATATATATCGATAGTTATCTATAGTATTATCATGGATATTTAACTATACAGTAGATACTATAGATACTATAGATATCTCTAGATATCTCTAGATATCTCTAGATATCTCTAGATACTATAGATACTATAGATACGATATATATATATATACCATAACATCCATGAGTTATGTTTACCAGCGATGAGCGATTCCCACCTGGGGCACCGCCTCTGACTCCGAGGTCCTACGTCCTGTCCCTGTCCCGGCACGGTCCAGAGCTGGCCGCGGGCTGTTCTGAGGGACAGGTGGTGATTCTCAGTACGGAAGGCTGGGAGGATTAAGGAGAGATATACCCTCTGGTTATGACTAACATAGCCATGGAAAATGGTCCATTTATAGATGGTTTACCTACTATTACCCACAAAAAATGATGATTTTCCATGTCGTTCATACGCTGGAATGTTGATCTTGTTTAAGGGTGTTTTAAGTTAGAAAGACCCATGATCCAACGCAATGGACTGAAGCCAGGACTTGTTGCATCATATTGCAGGCTGATCTCACGAAGTTATACAAACAATGATTGGATGATTGGCTTTGTTTTGTATAACTTAGTGAGATCATCCAATGAAATTAGCGAATTTTAGTGTGATGCTTAGTTGTATGCCAATGCTATAGATAACCAATGAGATTGGCGATGAGATCGCCAGCCGCCTGTGCCAGGCCTGCAGGTGAAGGAGGAGTTGCAAGTTCTTGCGGAGGACGCGGGAATGGGGGATGGATCCCAACCATTCACAACCTACTATAGATATCATTAGATATCTAGAAACTTCTATAAATCTATTGATGATCCATAATTTCCGGGATACTATACCATATTTGGGGGAAATCATACTAATCATACCATGTTCAGGGGAATTAGACCATCTTCGGGGCGAAGTATACCATGTCTAGGGGGATTATACCATATTTTCCTGCCGGAATGGACATCCATAGCTACCAGCTTTGGGCGATGCGAGGTGATCATGCGCTGAAATCATTCTGCAGGGTTCTTCAACCCAATATGGTGTACAACATGGTAAAAGCCCAGTTAATTCACAAAAGGCCATGTTGAACATTGCTGAACTAGCCCACTGATCCCTTCCCAATCAGTGAATTAGTTAAATGTGGTTAAAAAAAAACAGCCCCAAATAGTATGAAACCATCCCAGATTTAATATCCATAGGGTAATATTTAGGAAGATCTTCAACATTTTTCCCAGGGAACCATCCATAGGAATTCCACTGTCCATTGGGTGACACCATCCCAGAGGGACGTAAGATGACCCCCAGTCGGGTGGTCATGGGATGATGGCATTGGGTGAATCCCCAATGTTAGTAAAGCATTAGTAAGCCGTTCCCAATGTTAGAACTAGGGATTAATAACTGGCCATCCACAGGCCTACGGCCTGAGTTTCTTCCCCAACGGCGACCTGGCCGTGGCCTGCGGCGACGGCAGCTGCACTGTGTGGACGCGCAGCGCACAAAGGGCCGCCGGGAAGGTGGAGCGGCCGTGGGTCGGCTTTCTGGGGGGATTCTAAACAGCCAAGTATCTCAGTTATGGCTATACCGAAGTTATGTGAAGTTGGTGGTGACTGGAACCATGGAATTTTGAATGACTTTCCCATCATATTGAGAATTTCATCATCCCAACCCACGAAGTCATATTTTTCAGAGGGGTTGAAACCACCAACCAGTTATAGCATGTTAATAGTATGTTGATAGCATGTTATAGAAAAGTTTGATAATGTTGAGCCATAGGCCACATTGTAGATGAAAAGGCAACAAAAGAGGTGATAACATGTGATAACGACCAATATTCTGGTGTGTTTCATCAGAACTACCGTAGATGGACGATGAAATCAAACCCTTGCTGTATTGTTGTCAACCCCCGCACCCCCAAATTTCAATGTTGTCTTTGGGCTGCGCGCTTGGCTCCAGTGGACAAAATAATCAAACCCTGAACACAGAGGAAGTTAGATAGAGTTTTGTTCTACATTGAAATTTGGGGTGTGGGGTTTTACTTGGTAGATGCCTGTAGGGTTTGATTTTTTTGTCCATCTACTGTAGGACTCAACCAACAAGAATAATTAGGGATTTAGCCAGCACACGAATTGCGACTGAATCATCAAAACGATTTGTAAACTTACAAGTTCGTTGCCATACAGACCACCATGCGAGGGCCACGGTATATGGGAAAAAAACACGGACACCGCCAATATAGAATGCGTAGCTGCACTATGCCCAAAGGTTTTGATCATAGACTCAACATTACGGGTTGGCTTGGTCCTTTGTTTATCCCTTTCTACCTTAGTAATAAACATTCCGAAACCTGCGCTTAGTAGCGGATCTGTTTGTTTTGGGGTCGCTTGGAGAATGCAACATTTTCGGATGGGACTCATTGTGATTCACTAGCGATTGCGGATATACAACCAATAAAGATTGCGTAAGCTATGATTGATTATTGGTGCCAACCAATAGTTGGTTTATATATCCGCAATCTATCGTTATATAACCATGGTACCAACCAATAGTTGGTTTATAGATTCGAATGATGATCTGTAAACCAACTGGTGAATTGGTTGGTACCATGCCCATTCAAAGCGTTGGGGATGGGATATGTCATGGACGGGTGGATGGGTGGATGGATGGATAGACGGACAGAAAAGAACAGCGTAGAAGAGTCAAGAATTAAAAAAAATAAAAATAAAATCGAGTAGACTTAAAAAGAATAGAACCGATAATATATACATTATGATATGTATATAGACAGGTGGATAGAGAGAAAGGTAGGAATAGAATGGAATGTCAAGATAAGTTGTTTGAATCACACAATAGCTGGATAGGACAGGATAGAAATGAGTAGAATGCAAGAGAGAGAGAGAACGCATAGACAGATAAATGGATAGACGGATTGATTGGCTGATGGATAGACAATATAGATAGAAAAGATAGAAAACATAGATGGCTAGATGAACAGACGAACTAGATAATGATAGATAGAAAGACAGCATAGAATTGGCAGGAATAGAGTAAATAGGCAGACACATAGTTTGACTGACTGATTGGTTGGTTGATTAGGTTGGTGCTTGATTCGGCTGATTGATGGACGGACGGGTGGGTTTATGGATGGATCGATAGACGGAAAGATGGATGGTTAGACAGATACAGTAGAGAGACCATTTGCGGTCCCTATTGGTTCATAGTCCATAGTTATATCAAGTGAAATCCCCATCAAGATCCATTTGAAATCTCCATCAAGATCCATGAAAAACTTAAACAAGACAAAAAGCTCATTGAATCCCCTTTTGGGTGACAATAAATCACATTAAATATACCATTGAAATCTCCATAATATTCCCATTCCAATCCCAAGAAAGTCCCAAAAGATCAATCCCATCAAGCTCCCATCCTCCTTTCCCCAGGCGCTGCGAGATGAGTTTGCCTCCCAGGCTGCTGCCGTGGCGGCGGCTTCCGCGGCGGCCCCAGCGGCTTCAGCTGGTGACTTAGTAGAATTTCAGTGGGTTTTATGTGGGATGGTTGATTCTATAGTCATAAAAACCATATTCTGTGGGTTTTTAGTCATGAACTATGTGGATTTTTGTGGATTTCAATGGATTTCAGATATGTTCAGGAGTTGGCAGATGATGTACGCTGTGGTGATGTAACATAGCTATGGAAATATTCCATAGAATTCCCAATTAGTTTGATGATTTACCTATGAAAATTGTGATGTGCCATGGCTATGTTAACTTGCAAAAGGGATCAAAAGGGTATATGGGATTGCTTCTAGGATGTAACCATGAATAAATGCGATGTTAGGGGGATGTTAAGGGAGTTTTAGCGGTTTGTGTAGTTATTAAATGTTATTAATTGGACGTACAGCTTGCGTTCGTAGGGTTTCTTAGTTGCCTACGTTGACCCTGTTAGCTCAAGGTGTTGTATAGGGGCTAGGGCCAACAGGGCTCTCCGGGGGTTGCCATGCGAGTGGGAATAGGTGTGTTAATCACCTATGGGATCGCGACAACAAACTCCTTGGACCTGTGGTGGTCTCAGACGGCCGACAACCTGGAGCCAAAGGAAAAGGTCACCCAGACCACTGATGGTTGGTGGCCGTCATGGGAATGGCTTGAAAATGAAAAGGGTGAAGGGAGTCCAAAAAAGGGCAAAATCCCAGAAACCCGCCAAGAAAGTTCCAAGTCTTGGGGCTGGTTTCAAAGCGCCACCTTCCTCGAGATGGTGTGGGGGCTTGGTTGGTTCTACAAGATTGGGATCAAGGTCTTCCTTAGGTTGGCGGACAGTAGTCTGACCTACTGTGGGACCCTATGTGCCTCGCTCGGATTCGCTGCACGCTGGATGTACTGGCTCGCTGTGGCTGTAGTGGGTGTGTTCCTACTGCAGCTGGGAGTGTGGACTGTAACTTGGGTTCTGTTTCCAGTCCTCCGGCACTTCCTCGCTTTGTGGCGTTACCTTCGTGGTCAAGGCACTTGGCACGATGTGGTCAGCCTCCATGGGGTCGGATCCTTTCGGCCAGAGTGGGTGGGTCCGAATGTGGGTACACCTTGGACGGCGCAGTACGTGCAACAACAGGTGAGGGCGAGGAGTGAAAACCGAGAGCCCTTGGACCTCCTCGTGTCAGACGGGGCCGCAGTGGCGAGGCTTCGCCACGGAGCCCTCAGAGGACGCACCAATCGACACGGATACTTGGCAGTTTGCACGGAAGTGCACTCGAGCTCGCATCGCTACTGGCGCAATCAGCTGGAGGTGGCCAGTTGCAGGGTCCACTTGTGCTCTGCGTCTCCTTGCACTGCTCCGGAAGTTGCAGACGTGCATGCCCCACTGAGCGCAGTAGTAGCTAGGACCGTTGAAGTTGACCTTCGTGAAGCAGCAGGTAAAGGACCCATGGCGCGTTGCTGGACGGTGACCACGTTTTGGAGTTGCATTACTTGCAGACTCCTTAGTTGGGCGTGCTGCTTTGGGTGCAGGGTCTGTCGCAGAAGGGGATCGGTGGGTTGCCGGAGGCGAGCTTCTCGCCCAGGCGGCCCAGGACCCCAAGCCCAACGACACTTGCACGTCGACTCAGAGACTGAATCTGAAGGAGGAGAAGATGATTACCCTTGCCAGGCTGATCAGATAGCCCTTGCGGCTGTGGATAATCAAGCTCAGAGCGAGCCCCTCTGCCTCGGTCCTTGCAAGGACGCGGCTAGGAAAACTCCCATCAAACTCCTACAACCCGACGAGGCTGTCAGTTGTAGAGATGAGTTGAAGGAAGATGAAGAAGGGTATCACTTCTATGCATGTGACAGACATCGCGACAAGTATGTCGTGTCAAGAGCCCTGAGAGGGTGTGCCGTCGAAGGTTGCAACTCGGCGGCGCGGGTTATGCACCGAAATGTCAAGTTATGCAAACTCCATGCCGCAAAGGAAGAAAAGCGTCCGCCACACGTGCCAAGAGCCACTTTGAATACTGGAAAGGAGAGCTTGGAAAGTGAGGAGCCGCCGCCGAACAAATCGACCCAGGAGTCAACCGTGGCGGCCGCTGAGCCAGTCAAGGATGGCAAAGCGAGCCAGGTCCTCGCTGACTACGTCAGAAGCCGAAGCCAAGGGGGGAGTGACTCAGAAGCGAGAGCTGCCTGCGCTTGGGCACTGCTATCAGACCAGGATCTGTCTAACGTCCTGAAGACCACAGCTCAGCAATATCTCACACGTCTGCCAGCCACGTTTCCGGCGACTAGTCGAAAGGCGCTCGAAGATCTGGCAAGACCGGCACTTGTGGATCCTGTTCTTCAACTTGAAGTTGATTTCCAAGGAGACGCTGGCAGGCACCTTCCGAGTCTCTCAGCCCCGAACGTCGTCAGAGAGGAGGAGTCTGAGGGCAGGCCTGAGGCGCGTTTCGCGCCCGGGCCAGCCCCGGGAGGACCTCCTGCTACGCCCAGCTGGGACCATACCCATGGGACCTCGGGAGCAGCCGCTTTCTTTCGGCCGAGAAAGCTGGTGAGCGGAGCCGCACAGGGGGCTTTAGCGACACTCGCCGCGGCACCACCGACGTTCGATGGAGCGTCCTCCCTGGCCATTTCAGCTCGACCTTGGAGGGCCGGTGCTTTTACGGACCCAGAACCCAGACCGGTCGATGATGCGACCAAAGCTTTGCAGACCATCGCCAAGGCAGTGTTGAGCAAAGATGAGGCCGCGGGTCAGGAAAGGGGAAAGGTCAGCAGCATCGGAAAGACAGAAGAACGCCTAGTCTTCCTTGCTCGAGGCTGTGACGCCTTGACTGTGCCGGTGTGCGCGTCCACTGTCGGCAAAGAACTTTTCCACGCCCTCAAAACTGCAGGTTCACAAGGCCGCCCTCAGATGCGGGCACTGCAGTTCCCAGTCAACGTCAACAATCGAATTGCCTTTGGGATCGCATCTATGAACATAGGTGGGAAGGAGGTCAAGTCCTTACCGGAATTTAGTCTCTCAGCCGCGGATTTCCCATTGACGACAGAGGCAGACTTCGACACCTTTGCTCCGCCGACGGATTTCAAGCTTGAGAAAAGACCCAGGGGACCGATTACCCTCACTGCCTGGTTCAGATGCGCCTTGAGAATGGCCTGGGCCCTTTCGTGCGCGTATGGGACTGAACACTACCCGCAATGGGAAGCAGCTGCAACCAAGCTCCTTCGTTTGGGAGAAGAAGTTGGATATGCCTGGCCTCTTCAATGGATCGCCAATGTCTGGGAAGAACTTTGGAGCCGATACGTGGAAGAGTTGAAACAGCTTGATCGAGACCTCCGGCGACAAATGGGGGAAGAAGCACCTTCGTTCGAAAGGATCAGGTTCTTCGCTACGGCTCCCGATGTGGAAGGCAACCCGTGGCTAAGACTGCCCCAGACGTTCGACCTGGACTCAGACAGTGAATTTTTCCACACTGACATCTTGCCCCGGCACAACCGTATGCTCTCAAGGACTTGCTGGCAGCAAGCCCTAAAAGCCTCCAGCCTCGGCCTGACACCAGCAGAAGGGGGTCGAGCAGGCGGAGAACCAGATCCCAGGGCGGGTAAGCCGGCAAAGGGAGAGACAACCGCGCTCCTCGGTCCACCGCTGACCACCAAAGAGGCCTCTCGGTCACTTGACCATCGTCCCAAATGTAGGGAAACAGGAAAGTATTACTGTTGGGATTTCATCAGTCACAGAGGTTGCAAGCAGGGCAACGGGTGCCCGCACCAACATCCCAAAGCTGGCAAAATTCCCAAATGGGACACTTTCGACTGGTCCATTCAGATGCAGCTGCTTCGCCGCGGCGGGCTCCGAAGCAACAAAAAGCTAAGCCCACTGGAGGTTGAGGCAGCCATTGTGGAGCTCCGCAACAGTGTCACTGCCAAGTCGGCCGAGAATGTGGCCGAGGGGAAGGCACAAGCCAAGCCATCTCCAGCTGGAAAGGACAAAGACAGGAAAGGAGCGAAGCCTACCAACACTGCGCCTGCCGCGAAAGTAGGCCAGGCACCACCGCAGCCACCTGAGGAGCTCCTTCAATTCGCCCCGACCGACGCGGAAGCGGAACTCGCTGCGTGGACCAAGGGGGCCGATCACACCTGGTACCAGGATCGGTCGCCTCCGGCAATTGCCGAAATTGGGCCAGACATCCGCGAAGCAACCATGGCCAAACCTGAGGCGCGTCATCGCGCCCAGGTTATGGCCCAAGTCGAAAATGTCGGGATTCCAGCCTTCCCGCAGCTCCTTGGAACGTACGTCAGGGGCTGCCTCCTGCGTGAAAAAGAGCAGAATCCTACTTGTGACCTGACGGCCAGTCATGTCACTGCTGCCCTTGAAGCGGCTAGGGACCAGGGGGGTCCTGAACTTGCTGCTCAAGCCGCAGACGCCCTGAGCACCTACGGGGATTACGGCAAGGTCGGCAGCACCGCACCAGCGACCCTCAGCCCTGTCAGTTGGGACGGATTGATCGGGTATGGAACGCTTGAGTGGCAGTATGGCACCTGGCAGACCATTGATTTCGGAGACGAGCTGTCGCTGCCCGCAGACTTCGTTCCGCAGCTTGCCGGCGCTGAGCCAAACGCCTCCGACGCTCCGGAACCCAAGCAGTGCCTTCTCCTTCACAGCTGCGCTGGAGTGCTCCTCGCAGAAACGGGCATAGTGCCCGAGCCAGAGGCTGTCGAGACGTTGGCAACGTCGGTGCGACAACGACTACACGGACAGGCACACGAAGCCCAAGCTGCATTGGGGCCCACGCCCGACGAACTGTCACGCGCAGAAGCTGATCTTCGCATTTATGCACATGACCTGCTGCATTGGGGGCACGACAAGGACTATCGGTGCCTCGCGGCGTTCCCAGACCCGATCTTTGCACCTTATGCCCTTGCTATTGTCCGAGTTGACCACCGTGGCGGCACTGCCCTCGAGGTCCTGGTTGGCGCCAACCACGATTCCAGCCCGGAATCCACCGTCTGGCTCCTTGTTTCGCAGGGCCATATGCGCCTGCTCCATCCGCCGCGCCCTTTTGTCTGGCCTGCGACAGCGCGTCAAATCCAGGCGGTCGGCTGGGAGCCCCACTTGGAAGCAGCTGGCTGCCCCGAGGCTTGGTATCGAGCCCGGGACGTCCTTCGCTGTCACATTTGTCAGCCCAAATATCCGCCGGAACGTCGCTCGGGGTGGGGCATCAGTGTGTTTGGGCTCAGTCCGTTGGCACCCCCAGACAGCTTCGCGCCCAAGATCGGGCAGACGCTAGACCCTCCATCGGCTTGTGCCCAACTGGCAATTACCCCACCCGCGGACGGACCTTGGCTCTTGTGCATCGGGCCCGACGTTGCCGCGCTTGCTGCACGCCTCGCTCTCACTGGTCTTCAGACCATTTCAGTCAGTGACCACGCCTTCGACCAGCTCTTAAATTCCTTGTCGGTTCTTGAGCACCTGGTTGCCCTCCCGGGATGTGTTGGCCTTTGGCTCGATCTTGGCGTCGGGAGCGCCAGCTGGCGCGCTGCTTTGCTCCGCTCGGTGCCCCAATCTGTCCTGGCTGCTCTGCTGATCACTGCTCCGCTGGGGCTTGCTGTTCGCGAACTTGCCCCGCACGTCTCCCCGGTGCGGGTGCCGCCTGCTTGGCTGCCGCAACGCGGCCCTCTGTGGCTTTACTCTCAGCACCCAGTGGTCCTGGCTTGCGCACCAGACCTCCCAGGGGACTTGCCCTCGTTCGTGGCTGCCCTCTTTCGCCCTGAGGCGCGCTTCGCGCCCGGGGTCGGGGGGGGGGCCGGAGTTCGCTTCCGCGAACAACAACAACAAAGTCGGAGATTCTGCGGCCGAGGCCTGTAGACAATACTTCGATTTCGTGAGTTCGACTCCCTACTCCCGTGGGGCCCTGGGCCACGCCGCTACCTTGGGCAGTGCCCTGCTCGAAGCTACCAATGGTTGGAAAGCGGCCACGCAGATTTTGCGTAAGGAAGGCCAGCAGAAGAGAGGGGACCACTTCGCTGGCCTCCATGAAGCTTACCTGGAACCCCTGGTCCACCCTTCACTGCTCGAGGAGGCCCGACGCACTGCTAAGCATGGCGTTGAGGTCAGAGCTCATATGCAGGAAGGAGAGCGAGTTCGGGCAAACCCCCATCCCAGCCTGAAAGGTCATCTGGACGAGGCTGCAGAGCAAATTTGGCATGATGCTCAGAAAGGAAGGGTCCTCATCGTCGTGGACCAGGGGCAAGATGGCCTCAGAGGTGTAGTCTCCGCGCCCTTGGCAAGAGTCCCAAAGTACAACCCAGACAGAACTGTGAGCAGCAAGGGAAGAGTGATTTGGGACGCCACGGCCGTGAACAAAGTTTGCACCAAGGAGGACCACCCCCCAGCTCTTCAGCCTTGCCATTCTGAATTGGCCAGGTTGCTCCTTTGGTGGGCCTCCCGATACCCCGCTCTCCCCATTTTGCTTTCCAAGAAGGACGTCGCTGAAGCGTTCAAATGGATACCTGTGTCTGACGACGATGTCAGGCTGTTTGCCGCTGACCTCGGAGGAAAGGATTTTGGACATCCAGGGAGCACTATAGTGCTGGTGTACAACGTCCTCACCTTTGGATGGAGAGGAGCGCCGGGCCAGTTTATGCTTTTTGCCTGGACAATCAAGTCTGCCTTCCACAGCCTGAAGCCCAACGACCCAGAGTGGAATGACGCCACGCCCTTCAGAAGCCTGGTACTTATGGATGACACCATCATCTGCGAACCAGACATAGGGCTTCGCCCGCACTACGCGGTGACGGCTGTCGAAGAGCTCACACGGCGAGTGTTGGGCCCGGAGGCAATCAATCCCGCCAAGGATGCAGAAGAAGGAGGGCTGACAAGTTCCAAGCTCATCTGGGGCCTGCTCTATGATACTGAACAAGGCACGCGCACTCTCCCTCCAGTGAAATTAGAAAAGGCGAGCCACCTGCTGCGCCTGGCGGAGTTCGACCCGGGGAACACCAAGGTCCCATTGCGCTTGCTTCAGGAACTCAGAGGAAACCAGCAATTTTGGATAGCGGCCATGCCGGCCTTGGCACCTCTTCTTTCTGCTACCAATGCATTACTGGGTCCTGCAGACAGCGATGGGTACGCACGTCCCAAGGGCTCTCCCGCAGCCCAGGCTCGTGCCTGGCAAAGGTTTTGGGAAGCCGTGGAGGTTCAGAGGCTGCTTGTCGAAATGAAAAGCGAATGGACCACTGTGTTCACGCACCCGCTGGTGGAAGCTTTGTCCCTTCAGGAAGTCCTGGCCCTCCCGGGCCAGGCCAAGCAAGTAATCTGGGCATCTGGAGACGCCACCTTGGAAACCATCGGAGCCGTGGATTGGACCAACAGGGCCGCCTTCTCACTCAAAATTGCGGAATTGGAGGGCCCCTTGAGGACCTTCGTTGAGACTTCGAAGGACGAAGACCCACAGGAAGCCAAGGGAGAGGGCAGTCCCGAAGAAGAGATTCTGATCGTGGCCGTGACTGAACTCCTTGCTCTCGTCGCTCTGGCCTCCTCTCAGCGTGAAAAGTGGAGGGGGAAAGTGGTGATTTATGCAGGAGACAATCAGGTCGTCAGGAGCTGGGTGCAGAAAAGGACGGCCCCCAGGGCCATCGCCGCCTATTTGCTCCAACTTCTGTCCGTTTTGGAAAGTGTTTATGGTTTCCGAGTCTACACGGCGTACATCCGCACTTACCACAACCGCACTGCTGATGATCTCACCCGCCTGGACCCCCACTTGGTCTTCCAAAGGGAAGGCCTGCAGGAACTTGAAGATGTGTCCGCTTACTTTCGGGTTTTGCTGGATCGGGGGTGGCACAGAAGGGCCCTGATTTGGTCTACCGAAGAGACACACCAGCAGTTGGCCTTGCAGCTGTCTCGGCTCAGGCAATCGGCGCTCGAACGGGTGCCCGCGGGGCTCGCCATGGCGCTGTTGGACAAGGTCTGTTTGGAGTGGGACTGCGACTATGGGGCCTACAGCGCGGCCGTGCTGTCCCTCGGAGCGGTCGTCTACGCCAGCCACTCTGGTCGAGGGCACTGGCGCACCCCGGTCGATGAATGGGATGGCCAGCCGGTTGACCTCCTGTTCGGACGCGTTGGCCCGAGAACCACTAGCGCGCAAGAGCTGGCCCGAGGCGCGTCTCGCGCCCGGGCCAAGGAGGTTTGGGCCGACACGCCGACTGAAAAAGAAGCAAAGGAATGTGTCCAGGGGTTGGAAGCTCTGGGGTATCAGACTCTCGTCAAATGTGTGGCAGGCAGAACGCTGGAGGACCAGATTTGGTGGAGGCGGTGGGTTGTTTGCGGGAAAAAGGGAGGGGCTGCGCGTGAGCCGCCCTGCCTTTCCGCGGATGAAGAACCCCAGACCCCAGCCAAAGCTTACTATGACCTGACTTGGCTGCAGCCTGACAAGCAGATCCCGACCGACGCCTGGGTGTCGTGTGAAGTCAACCTTGACAGTGGCATGCCACATCTGGGGGCAACCTCGCCCCGACCTGCCGGCCATTTCAAGCTAAATGGCAAAAGGGCACTCCTGTGGGAGCCGCACCGCCCGTTGCCTTCCCTGCACCAACATTCATGCGCGGAAGGGAGACCAGACGCCCTGTTTCTCCTCGGCACAAGCACAAAAGGGCCAAGTCCCAGGCGCCTGATGCCTGTGGAGGTGCAACGCCTGTGGGGTGTGAAGTCAGAAAGGTCAACCCTGTCCGACCAGGACGAAGCCGCCAAGCACGCGCTGCTCGAACCACCCACGGGGCTGGCTAAGTTAGCTGGGCTTTGGGCGGGGGGTGGAGC